ACTGTAGCACATGTCTGCCTCCAGGGATTTATCTCCTTAAAGAAGAGAAGTCACTTTCTTTAACCCATGCTCAGTCATCATACCTGCCTTCGTGTCTCTGTACAGGCGTCCCCGTGCTGCATGTCATCGCCACTCCCTTCCCACAGTTCTGGCACACACTGGAGGACACGGAGGAGAACATGCACCGCCCGACGGTGGAGAACCTGACGAAGGTCATGGCTGTGTTTGTGGCGGAGTACCTGGGCCTCTGAGCGCTGAACATAGATAGCAACGGTCCGAACAGGACTGGCAATAAACAGCGACGTGAGGAAGAGGAGAGCCTGGTGAAATTAAATAAACTGGAATCTGAACTTTACCAAAGACGTGTATCTGCTGGGCAGTCCTCGGGTTTACGTGGACAACGAATTGGACACAGCTGAGCAAAGTGTGTGAAGTGGATGGTTAAAACTTTATTACTAATACACATGCTGGGGAGCATCATACCTGAGAAGCAGCTGGGAAATGTGTCTGTGACTCTATATTAATGTTTTTGTTCTGTTCCTGTGAAAGAAAAAAAGCCTTATTAGCCTTATTGATGATTTAGCCTGTTAATAAGAGATGGAGATGCTCTTCGTCTTCTTGAGAGGGACCTGTTGTGCTCGTTTTCAGCTCCGAGATTTTTCTCTCAGACTCTGCTCAAGTAGTTTTGCATGATTTACTGATCACATGCAGCCTGAAACAAGCCTCTCCTTTTAAACTGAGCTCATTTTGATTGGCTGCCCATCATAAATAATAGAATATCTGCTCTCAGTGACATCATTCAGAGCCAAGTGTAGAAAAAAAACTGTGAAAAAGCGCATTTAGAGCACTCTCAAGCTTGAGCTTTGGCCATATGTAATAGGAGCATCCACAACTGTAGCCGTTTATGTATACATATGAAAGGAAACCAGCAAAAGCACGACGGGTCCCCCTTTAAGAACAACCTGTGACGAGCGCTGCTGCTGAGGACGCTTTTCGTAGTTTATCTGTGAGTACCTTCTCCTGACTTTACCTTCACATCAGTGAAGATCCTCATGGCCTTGGCTGTTATGAAGTGCCAGCAAGATGAAAATCATGAAGATGTTACTATGGTAAAAGATCACACCGCAGTGATTGTGAAATTATTTTATTCAGGTTCTCTTACAGTTTCAAGACATTTCAGGAAGTCGTAAACACTGAAAACGCTGTCTCCTGGTTCAGTGTGTAACCTTTGGGTATGATACATGTGGGTGCAGTTTACCAGCATGTACCCTTTAATAAAAATAATTCCCTGATCGTTATAAATGTTTTGATTTCATCTGTGAATGCAGTGTGGAGATGCACCTTTATGCCACACCTGTGATCCAGTCTGTTGGCTTTAATCTCCAGACGTCTGATGTCTGTCTTGTGTGATATTCTGTAAACGTTTAAGTCTCTGTAGGGGATCTGCTAGGTCTTGTTTTGGTAATAAACTTTCAATGACAACAGAAATTATGATGATCTATCAACCACTGGACAGCTTAAACATCTTGATGCCCTCCACATGTGTGGTGCAGTGGAGGAGGCAGTGGATGGAAAAGGGGTGGAGGTGGTTCGCTGCAGCACTGGGGACTGCCTGGAGGTGAAAGGTCGTTGTCAGAGGATGGGTAGGCTTGTTCTGAAGGTCCTCGAGAGCCTGTCTGAAAACTGAAGGATCATGAGATTTAGAAAAAAGTACAGATTAATGTCTTACTGTAGCCACAAGGTGGTGCTATTATGCAAAATTCAACGCGTGCGCCACAGTGATAAATTCTATTTACGGCATGCCAGATTAAAGTCTCCTTAAAGCGTTTTGTAGAAAGTACAACCCAGTTAAATGCTTCGCTTCACATAGATGTTTTTTTTTTCTAGTTTTAACAGGGGAAAAAATCGTTCAGCCATTCGCTTGTTTTTTCCCCACAACGTTGACTCGAACTTTCAGAATTATCAGTGAACCCTATCACTATGTGCATGAAATGCATATTAACTAAAATACCAGTTTCTTTAAACTGATATGTACTGCTTATGTAATTTAGTTTGGTGATAGAAAAAAAGCTACTGGAAAAAAGGAGGAACTATTTTATGCCCGACTATAAGGTAAGAGAATCGAGTTAGCTTATGGTGGCAATGTTTTAAAATCACTCGGCGATTTTTTAAAAATCGGTTTCTTAACGAAAAGTATAAAATCAATGATTTCTGTAAAGACCCTATTCTATTCAATTTTAAGTTAAAGGTATGAGTAGGTGATTTTTTTTTAGTCATTAATTTAAATTATTACAGAAAGCACAAATCCCGATTTTTATTGCTTAATGCTAAACGCCAACGGTTTGTTTATTCGGTGTATCCATTCGCTTTCTGTGGGCCACTGATGGCGCCTTCCATTAGCAGTCGCAATTTCCCTGTTCCCAGTCAGACGTTTCACCTGCAACATACACTCAAGTCTAACCTCCAATTTGACAAATCGGAGAAGCCCCAAAGCCCAAACTACGATTTAGCAATCCAGGATGGCAGCAGTGCGCTTAAACATAAGTAAAACTGCGTTTTCTTTCCTGTTTTTCGTACGTCGCTCCCAGCTCCGACTTTCGAGGTAACTAGATGCGTTCATCACTTTTTATTATTAGTATTAGTTTACATGGGGGTTCTTTGAATGATAAGAGGACAGCAGTTCAGCTTACAGCGACCTGGTGCCCTTCACTGACCCGGTAAACTCCGCTATGCGGTCCCTCTGCCGGCGGTTCTTGAACCAGTTGCTGACCTGGATGGCGGTGAGGCCGGTGGCTGCTGCTAGCTCCCGCTTTTCTCGGGTGGAGGGATACGGCTTACGGCGGTACCACTCCCTGAGGATACTCCGAGATTTTTCCTGTTTGCAGTTAAATAAAATAAATAGTGAAATCTGGACATTATTATCAGAAGATATGTGAGCGATCCAGAAACTGTAATAGCATCTCTTATTAGCTGACGGGCCATGTGCATCTCTGTGTCAGGTCTTTTTCCTATTTCTTACATACATGACTTTTAGATACCTTCCTTCTACTGAGATTTGTTTTTGTCTCCACATTTTCAGTTTCCTCATTTTTTAAAGCACACATTGCACACCCCTGCTGAGCTAAACCTTTCGACTAATTGCAAAAACCCCCCAAACCTTTTATGCCTGTCAAACTATTATCTTTGGCATTTCTCATAGACTGAACTAGATTGAAGTGCCTAAAGATACCCCTTGTAGACTGCACTGGTCCATCCTTGAGTTAGGTCAGTGTTAACTGGTTCCAAATAACTAACCATCCATTCTCTTCCACTTATCCTTGTCATGGTAGCAGGAGGGCTGGAGCCTATCCCAGCTATCACAGAACAAGAGGCAGTTCACCCTGGACAATTTGCCTAACCCCACTAACTGCATGTCTTTGGACTATGGGAGGAAATCGGAGTACCCAGAGAGATGTTCAATCTCTTCTTGCTGTCAGGCAACAGTGCTAACCAGCACGCCACCGTGCCGCTTTCTGAATAACTAACGAACACATTTTTTTAAAAAACAAAACCCATTCCTCTGAAAATATTTTTAATCCTTGTAGCTGACCTAAGTGAAACAGCAGCCAGTGTCCAAAGAAAGACTTTGAAAAAGCTTCAGAAAACCTGGAGAACTATTAGTCAAGACCACTTTAAAAATTACAAGTTCTACTCCTTAGAAGCAAAATATAAAGAAATTAGGGTGGCTCGAGATTTGCATAGCACTGTATTTTAAGCCGAAATACAATGGCATAGATGCAGCATGCTCCATAGAAATGCTTAAATTAAGTATGTGAGTAAAATACCAAGTTACATCCCACTGGTCCTATAATGCTCTGAACCAATAGTTTAAGATTAATAATACTCTTTACTCACAAAAGCAGGGTGGGACAGTTTATATTTACATATAATTAGATTCATTACTATAAAAATACTTGAAAGATAATGTTTTATGCAAAGCACAAAAATATAAATTATATATTTATGCTATAGAGGTCACATACTGTATTAAAGATGCAGTATTCCTCAGATGTGATAGTACACGACTTGTACATAGTAGTATTAGTAGCCCACAAGTACACTATGCTCCACTTCAATCAGTGCCAGTACACTACTTGATTAAATGCAGCTCACACTTCAGTTACTTAAAAACATGCAGTTTTAGTGTTTGCCTACCTTGAAGCAGTAACTGGTCTCCTCTCCGTCCCAGATGGTGTTTGGTAGAGGAAATTTTCTCCTCACGCGGTACTTCCCCACAGCTCCCAGGGGTCGGCCCCTCTGCCTCTCCGCTTCTATGTAGTGGGCTTGCAGCCAGAGCTGCTGCAGGAGCGGGTGGCTGCGTGCAGAGAAGGGGAAGCCCTCCAGCAGGGTGTAGAGGTCTGAGAAGCGCCCTTGGTGAAAGGCCACCGCGGCTTTGGCTTTTAGCACGCTCTCAAGCTCCCCGGGGCACGAGGAGGAGGAAGCAGGAGGAAGAGTGCGGAGGAAGCTGGCGAGACGATCTATGCAGCCGCTCTGCAGCAGGACCTCGCACACGCAGGTGACCTGCTCTGCTGTGAAGATCATAGCTGCATGGACGGGTCCTGAGGCGCGAGGTGAAAATATCTTCTCAGGAGAGCGCCAAAGCCTTCCCTCTATGCCCTTGTGTGTGTGGATGAACAAAAACTAAGTAAACTGCATGTGTGTGTAGCATTACTCATCATACCGCGGCACAGGTAACCTGAGACCATCAGGGCTATCATAACACACCATGCATCCCCTCCTTCTCTTGTACAAACACATGCATGCACAAGCTCACACACATTTTGGTCTGACTTGCACGCAGAGTCAGAGCACGATGGTTTCTCAGTAAAAGAACACATTTGAATAAAATTTTCTTGCCAAATTAGAAGCAAAGGTTGTCACCCCCCCTCACTCGCAATAATCTACAGTTCCAAAGTGTGGCGCATGAGGACATCCACAATAATCACAGTCTTTTCTGTAAATGTAGTTTATTACAGTATCATGTAATATAAAAAATAGAATGCATTTGAGTACAAAAATGAGAAGACGAGGCACAAATGATCCCTTTGAAAACTCAGAAACAAAAACAAAGCAAAAACACACGACATCTTTGGTGTCTGGAGTCATGAATGTTACACGTCAGGCTGGAGAGTGAAAACCAATCCAGGAACATGTGTGCGTAAGCCATGCAGGCTTTAATGTCAACATACTTTGGTAAGAAATGGCTAATATGAACAAACACAATGAAAACATTTTCCTTTACCCCCCCCAAACAAATTTAAACACTCAGCTAAATTCAGGTTGATTTGTCCAAGCTAATGTCCTGGAAGCTGAGCTTGGAAAACCTCACGTTACAGCGTGAATTGATAATGAACATTTCCTATCCACAGCTTCTCCTCGAGGACTGTTTTAAAAACTACTAACTGATTGATGCATGCCTTAAATAGATTAAATGAGACCAACAAACACACACACATTAATGTAACTATACGTGTTTTTCTGATTTTTTTTGTACCATAATTGGCCAAAGGTTTGACCGCTTACCTGTGTTATGACAACAGAAAGGTCACACAGCTTTGATCGAGCTGTACTCAAAAATTTAACAATATCTCAAAAACACGAACCACAACTTCCTGATTAATCTTCTTGGCTCCTTATCTTTCTGTGTCACTCTTACTAAGAGACTGTGAAATGAGTCCGACCGCTGTCATAACACCGTGGCAGTGCAGCGTAAACAATATGTGAATGAAATGTGCAAAATATACAACAACAACAAAATAAAAAACACAACTGAGCTATGACCACACAACCAAAAAAAGAAAAGACACGTTTGTGTATCACTGAACAAACTCATTCATAAACGTAGACACAAAAGAATCCATATGAAGTGAATCCAGGTATTTGGTTGAGTACATAGCAAATATATATATAGCACGTTTTAGTCAGAACATCAATAACATCAAACGTGTGAGCTTTAAAATAAGGCACTTATAAGTATTAACATGCTGAGATGTTAACAGGAAACATCGCAACATGTTTTAGTGTAATGCTCTGCTGTGCTTCCTTTTAAAAGCTCAGCACAGCTTCTTTTTATCTCCCAAGAGTACTGGCTTTAAAAAAATTACACTCAGCCACTGTGCGACATAGTGTCTTATGAAGAACTAAACATGCATTGCATAGAGTATAAACCCTTTTATTTCCTCCTGTTCTATATATAGGTTTGTTTGTTTTTTTAAACAAAGGTCAGGCAGTGCTGAATCCTGGAAACTGCAGACAGTTCAATGATAAAAACAACACTACTAACGTGTGGTAATAAAATACTGTCATATAGCCCTTTCAGCTATGATCTAATGTTTGTGTAGATTATAATATTCGCTATATTCCTGGTCAAACTCGTTGCAACTGGGCAACAGATTCAGCCATGCTTGCCCTTAATCACCGACTGTGTTCATAGACTTAACTGACAGAACTGGTGGTGTCGATGTTCGGTGGTCAGATGTTCGGAGGGTGACATCCTGCAGGGTGGGATGAGAATCCGAACCTCTAAGTTAAAAACAAAAGTCTCCACTGTGGGTTTAGGGTGAGTTTGTGTTGTTGCTACAAGTAGCTACTCCCTTATTCACTAGGGATTGGGAAGATTTTTTATGCTGGATGCTCTTCCTGACGCAACCCCGAAAGGGATTTGGGTCTCCACCCAGAATCGAGGATCGTTTATTTGTTAGGTGAACCTGTTACACATGTAGGAGTTAAATTATCCTGATGAAAGTGTGGAAGAGGACTGGTGGATGGTGAAAATATGGTGGACTGGTGTGGCACGAGCAGTTAGGCAGATGATCCAGTTGTTTTGAAGAGAGGTGAGTCCGACTGTTCTGTACACTCCTACTCTACACTGTGAGGAATTAAATATTAGGGATACTTGGGGTGGTAACTGGAAGAATAAGACCATGAGATGCAAGTCAGATTCTTCAAAGTTGGAGACAAAGTGAGAAGGAGCTCAGAGGAGAGCCGCTGCCCTTCTGCTTTAAAAAGAACCAGCTGAAGTGGTTCAGGGATCCGACCAGGACGACTCCACGATTGATCACTGGAAACAGTGTGCTGTTGTTGCTGGCTTGGGAATGTCTTGGTTTCCTCCTGGAAGAACTGAAGTTGATAGCTGCTTAGGCTACCTTCTACTATGACCTGGTCCAGGATGAGTGGGAGATGATGGATGAAGGGATATTGCTGGAGTGTTGGCAGAATATATTCAGGCTGAATTCAGGACAGGGAGGGAACCATTTAAAGATTTTTCCCTTTTGAACAGTGTATCACTGTTGTGGATCTATATCAGAAACCCAGACGTAGTAGAGCTGAGTTAGTCCACAAAACCACAAGAAGGATCCATGACCCCTGACCCCATGACTCACAAGTCTTGGTCTAACATCAAGACTTGTGAGTCAAGCAGATTAATCCTTAAATCATCTGTGCGGATCTGATCTTTTTATAAAAAAAAAAAAAGTAAGGCACATACTGATTTTAGTAAAAAATAAAATAAAAAAATCTTAATCCAAACTGAGAGGAGTAATTGAACCAGCAGGTGAATAATCCCATTCATAATAAAGAGAGCTGGAAAATTTCCAGCTAGCACCACAATGGCATCTGGTCTACTGAGTGAGAATTGCTGCTGTAGGTTATAAAAAAAAATATGGTGATCTTATATGATGCAAGATGTGGGATAAAAATGTTTCAAGTCATCCAAACAAGACAAACAGATCTGTGGTGTTGAACCAGTTTTAAAAACTATAAGCCCAGCTCGTCATCCACAGGGACAGACTGAAGCTGAGTAAGGATTTTTGATTCTCCATCGATTTCCTCTGGATTCCCAAGTGGCGAGCTGGCTTCCACATCCTGCTCTGGAGAGGGGCTGCCCAGGAGCAGCGACTCCCCACCAGGTAGACCCAACAAGGCTGGGTCCACAGGTAGGTCCCCCTTGGTGCGGACGTCAAACAGAGTTAAACTGGCTGAAGTGGAGAGGGGCACTGGGCTCCACACTGGCTGGGGCATTTGGCTATTTGGTGTCACTCCAGTGTACATGGGGCTGAGCGTGAGCATGCTTTCTGGAGTCAGAGCATTCTGCGTTGTCGGGGTGGCCGTTGGGTCCAGCGGGTGAGGGGAGGGGATTGCGTGCACTTGGCTGGTTTGGATGGGAGTCTCTTGAGCACAGTATGGTGGAGATGAGCTGATGAAGTTCAGGGGAGATGATGCGGCGAGGCTGCTGGGCGTTGGTGTTGAAGGCTGTGAGACTACGGGAAAGGTAGAAGGGTTAAGAATGGGGATCACTCCGTTTGTAGAGATGGTGGAAGCGTCAGGGACTGGTTTCAGGGGCAAACTGGTGAGCTGAATGCCTGCTGGGATGGTCAGAATCAGCTTGCCTTGCTGGACACTCAGGTAGGGGCTACCACCGAGGAGAAGGTTACCTATGAATATGAATGATAAATGATAAACTGGCAACAATCTAAACAATATAACCAGATTCAGCTGATATAAAAAGCAATGGGGCTATATCTTATAAGTGCATGCAGCAATCCAAGTTATAGATCAATACTTTTAATGAGTGTTTTACAGAATGGCATATATATATATATAATATCATACAGAAACAGAACATGTTTCTGAAAGCATTATTTTCTTTTATGTTTGGTTTTGTAGTGCTATCAATGGAAAAAAAACAAACACTGTACTGATAAATATTCCTCAAATTTTCCCAGGTACATACTAACTTGCGGGTAGATGCTTATATTAAACATGTCCAGTGTTGCACATAATGAGGTCAGAGGATCTGAGCAGAACCACAGGCTTCAGATAACTTTTCATAGTGTTGGTTTTGGATGATGTTATTTAGAATGGATATTCCCTCATGCGGTCATCTCAGGCACACGGCAACCTGCTGTTCAAACTTTTATTTATGAATGGATGCCAATCAGAATCAAATAGATTCAACTTTTCCCCCTATAGAGACGACATTTGAGGACCTCCCCAGTACACCCAATGATAAGCTTTGATACCTCAGTATATAATAAAGACGTAGTTTGATGACAATTTGAATAGTTTCTGGGTTTTTCCAAGGGTAGGTGGGTAGCAAAATATTAATCATAACCAATTCTGATTAAGCAAAAAATGTCAATGTCTGCTCGTCTTTGACTTGTGTGACATGTTGTTGATTATTTGCAAGACAAAACCCCCAAAAAACATGTCTGTCATTGTTTTTTCTTTCTGCACCACATAAACAATCAATGATGATCTATTAATCAATAATTAAAAAGATTTTTCTGAGTCCTAAAACATTCAAATGTCTTTGCGCACTCTTTCTGACTAACAGTAACTTCAAAAATTTCACCTTTTCTGACTGTAAATACAATCAGTTCATGTGAATATGAAAAAGAAGTCATGTCTGAGAAGCTGGAAGCAGTAACAAATACACACACATAGATATATGTACCGTAATTGTCGGGCTATAAGCCGCACAAGCTTTGAACCCTGCGGCTTTTAGTCAGGTGCGGCTTTTCTATAGATTGTCCATGATTTTTGTGATATCGTAAGACGATTTGTTTTGTTTGTTCCGCTGTTGTACGGCACTACGTTGCCTGGCGGAAGGATCGAGGTTCAAGAGTGGTATGTTGGTCACATGTCCATCCGCCAGGCAACATAGTGCCGTACAAGTAGCGCGAAAAACAAACTTCAAAGTAGCGCTACACGTTCAGCGGGAGTCGTGGATGACGAGCGGCGATAAACTTGCGAAAAGCAAGTTGTGCTCAACTCTACCGGTGGATTCTGACAGCGTGGAAAAGTGTGCAAACATCCACGATCACCAACGGATTTCGAAGGGCTGGACTGCTGCATGATGAAGAGGAGGACACCGCCACGGCCCTTCAGAGGGTGTTCGACTGACTATGACAATGAGGATTATCTTTGGTTTTGAAAGTGACAACGAAGGAAAGAAGCTGAGAGTGGATGACGAAGCCATCCTGAGCCTGTTCGTATCCGACACTGGAGAAGAGGACTTTGGTGGTTTTAGTGCGCAGGAAGATGGTGGTGAATGACTGACTTTTCTTCTTGTTAAAGCCGTGTCACTGCACCTGAGCCTAAAAGGTAGTCTGAATCTATTTTTCTGGTGTGCTGTAGGTTACTGTTATGTACTACATTTGTTACTCATTTATGAAGCACAGCACATGTGCAAATATGTACCCATAACTTGATTTTCAAAATATTAATAAAAGGGGTGTGTCTCCAAACAGCCATCTCTTTCCTGACAATTCGCTTTGTGCATATTCTCTTACATATGATAAGTCAATATTGAAACACCTGCGGCTTTTGGTCAGGTGCGGCTAATGTATGTACAAAACAGGATTTTCCCCTGATTTTAGCTTGTGCGGCTAATATTCAGGTGCGCTTTGTAGTCCGGGAAATACGGTATATATAATTATTAATCAATAATCAGTTAATTTTCTCTTAGTTCTGGGTGCTACATTTTTTAAATATTTAATGAATTGAGAATACCTGGAGGGGTAGAGGGTAGCTGAATGATGCCGGAGTTTAGGAGCTGCACCGTAGGGGCCGTGCTGGCTGGAGGAGCTACGCTCTGAATGGGCCTCAGCTGGTTTAACCTGAGAGGAGCCTGTGGGACCCCTCCAGCTGCAGGAGCTGAAGTGAGGATCTGTAATGGTAGACGGGCAGAAGGGATGGCGATAGAAGGACTTGCAGGTACCACCTGTGGGAAAGAGATGGTGGAGGAAGTTTGGATGGAGGAGACTGGTACCAGCTGGGGCACAGAGAGTGGGACGAGCTGTGCCGGTGTGCCACCTTTGGCCTGGGGGACTGGGACGACTTGTGTTGGGGAAGAGATGGAAATAACCTGCGGTGTCTGGATTTTGCTGGGTGTACAGTTTGTGGTCTGCTCCCCCAGTTGTTGCATCACGTGCTGGGGGAGCTGACTGTTGTTGAGCGGTGAGATGGAAACTATGGTTGTGGCACCTTCAGACATAGCTGCCGAGGCTTCCTGTTGCTGCTGTGCCAGTCTGTTTCCTGTGTTCAGAGTCTGGGGGCTTTGAAATTGAGGCGCTGGTGAGGTGAGGGGGGATACTGGGACCAGCTGAGGGCACTGGGATACCTGGGCTCCCGAAGAGTGCTGAACCAGGTGAGATACTGGTATACCCTGGATGGAAGGCACAACCTGGGGCAGAGAGAAAACCTGAGGGGTGCAGTTGCTGGTTGAAATCACAGAGCTAGGAGGGTTGAGGCTGGTAGAGGGAGCAGTAGCAGAGATGCTATACTCCCCTTGCTCCCCTGCAGAACTGGAGACAAGCATGCCTGCAGATGACAGAGATGCTGGGAGGGGGAGGGAGTCCTGGCGTTGGTGGTTTTGTGTTAAAACTAGTGAAGAGAGGCTGGTTGGTGAGGAAGAGGAAGAAGAGGATGATACCGTCTGGCTGCTGCCCTCTGATTCGGAAACACTGATGAAGCCCATTGCACTGTCACTCTCGGTCTTGGTTTGCAGGGGAAGAGAAATGATGGGGTTCGAGACAGGCGTGACGTTAGTGTTAAGAACAACTGCTGGAACGCCGCTCGGCTTGGCCTCCATTTCTGAAACTTCCTGCTCCACCCCAGAAACAGCTTGCTGTGGCTGCTGCACACCAACCCCAGATTTGGTTATTACTTGAGCCCCGTTCAGTATTAAAGGAGAGCTGGTTCCAACAGGACTCAGTGTGACGGTCTGGCAATCACCTAAATTTATCCCATTAATTATAACACCAGCACCACTGCTGGAGATCAGGGAGTTGCCATTGAGCAGAGAGGCGGTGAGGAAGCCGCTGGACCCGTTGAGGATGAGCTGGCCTCCAGTGCTGGACGGGACCGCAGCGACAGAGATGATGGAAGCTGTGGAGCCGGCAGCCTCGTCTGGTTTGTCGGGAGTGTCGTCCATCGCACTCGCCTCATCCTCAGTGCTGTGGTTCCCATCGGACTCACTGAAATGGTCAAATATAAAGGACAGAAGCACACACAGACAAATGAGTTTTTAATGTTACAAGAAATGAACAAAAATACACAATTAGATCAACTCACAAATAAAACAAAACCTTAAGACTGAAAAATGTTTGATTCAAAAAGTAGCTACTTGTAAGACTGCAGCTAATAATTATATATTCATTATTTTTATAAAATTCAGCCCACGATTTTCAGTCTAACCAAAAAGAGGAAAAAGCCTCAACTCTTTTACAACAGAATTTAAAGTCAGTGAATATGTGTCTGTTTGGAAAGAGCTCAAATTATTAATCAATAATCAGACTTGCTGTTGGTTAATTTTCTGTTAAACGAACTAGGTAAATAATTAACTAAGCAGCCAGATAAAGAGGCAAACACTCCTCTCCAGCACCAGAGGCAAGGAGTGTGATTCCCCCTGAATTTTGAATCCACGGTCCACCACCCAAGAGGAGAGGTGTGCACATCAGGATAACCCACAATATCCAGAATCTAATTCACTGCTGCCCCATAATGGACTGGTTCTCATAGCACTCTTCTACTTAAGCGCTGTTTTTTTAAAAGTTGTTTCTATCCAACTTCACACACATTCATACTGCGATGGATGCATCTGAGAGCAACTTGGGGTTAATATCTTGCCCAAGGATATTTGGCATGCAGACGGGAGTAGACGAGGAGTGAACCACCAACCTTCCGATTAGCAGGTGACCTGCTACAACAATAGAGAGAAAACCCCAAGAATCAGACAATCCTCTATGAGCACTTGGTGACAGTGGGAAGGAAAAACTCCCTTTTAACAGGAAGAAACCTCCGGCAGAATCAGGCTCAGGGAGTGACGGCCATCTGCCACAACTGATTGTGGTGAGAGAAGACAGGACAGAAGACACACTATGGAAACAGCCAAAGATTAAAAATAACCAGTAATTAAATGCAGAGTGAAGAAGAAACGCTCAGTGCAGCCCAAGATTATTGCAGTGCAACTAAGGGAGGATTCACAATCACCTGAGCCAGCCCTAACTATATGCTTCATCAACAAGGAAAGTTTCAAGCCTACTTTTAAAAATAGAAGAGGGGCCTCCACATCAGCACCGGGGTAGGAGTGTAAAAGAAGTTGAAACAGGAAAGAGAGAAATCCCAAAGTCTTCTTCAGAAAGTTTCATCTGTCTCAGCTGCTGGAGCATCTCCCTCTCTGTAATGTGGGAGTTTCTGAGCTCCTGCACCAGTACGTCACTGAACACAGTTCAGAGGTGCCCGACAAGCAGAAACGACACCAGGACGTGGCAGTTGTGATGTCACTTTTGGCGCGTGCTGCAATTTGTTGTGGTGCCAATGGCGAGTATAAACCGGCTATTAAGGGACTTAGGATGAATCTCATCCATCCTCCAGGGCCAGGCCGCTAGAGACTAATCAACTATTCATTACAACTATAAATAGATAAATAGATGTATTTGTCCCCACGGGGAAGTCACCTGACATTTGCAGACACCTCAAATAAAACAATCCCATCAACATAAGACAAGCACACGTTAAACACTCTTTCACTCTTCCTGTATCGTAGGGATGACTTTGGCCACACGAACTGAGCAGGCTGTGTGTTGCTCATGTTCAGACGTTTGATGGCTCGAGGAATAAAAGATAGAGTCGACCCATTTGTGAACAAGACGGGACAATGACACCATGCAGATGGTAAAAAAAATCTAATTTAAGCTCTGTGTATATAATATTACAGGATTCAAATCTATTAGACTGAGCAAGCAACCTTCATCGTACCAAGTAACACTCTCTTTTCTTCTAACTGCACTCTGCTGTTTCCATTACCATCATGTGAAACTTTAAATGTGATATAAATGCAGTATTTAAGATTCAATATTACTAGAATACTAAAAAAAAAACAAAAAAACAAAGCAAACCACTTTCCAAAAGCACATCCAATCAGCAATATACTGTCACTCTTAAATATGTTAAATATTTCTAATTCAAAACTAGGATGCCTGCAAGTTTTAAAGTTTGCCTCAGCAGGATGTTTGATTTTAAAGGGAGAGTAGCCTCCACTTTAAGGTGCAGAAATCATTTTGTATCCGTCCGGAAATCCTAACATAATCAAAGCGTTCTTCTAATGCCGACGTTCTCCAACAGTTTCTGGCATGCCTCCTTTAGAAGAAGCTACTTTCAGCTGATCCCTTATTAACAAAGGGTCGCCACAGCAGGTAGCTGCACGTTTGATTTGACTGCACTGTACAGCGACTTTGTCGTTTCAACTGAGGGAATGCAGGTTAAATATTTGCTAACAGGCTCATTTACACTAATGTTTACTGGTGATCTTTGTTCCTGTGAATTAAGGCAAAAATACTTATTGGTGCTGTTTTAGAGACTTTATAATACAGTAGTCAGTTACGGACTCTAAAAACCTTTATAAATGCAACATCAGGATTATTACAAAAAGTGGGGCTCAAAGTTGCTGTATGATCACCTACCTACCTACTGACATTAATCCTAATTTTTAAGTTTTAGTCTTTGTCACTTTGGTCAAGTTTTTCAGCACAACATGCATCAGGAGGTTCTGAGGCTTTGTTTTTTTTAAGACTGACATTAATCAGACACGATGAGTTGCGTGTCCCAGTTTTAAAAAACAGAATCTAACCGAATCTTTTCTAAAGAAACTAAACTAAAATAAGCAAAAACTCTGTGGAAATGTAACTGAAACTAAGATGAATTGATAATAAAACTTCTAAATAAGCTGGAATATGTTCTTATCACTTGGATACATTTGGTGAGATGTGGTTAATGTGTGAAAATAAAGCATCCTGGTGGCTCCAGTCTGCCAGACCGTGGGGTTTGATACAGCACAGCAAACTTATCTTTCTTATCTTTTCACAAACTTCCCCTCCCACTGCTTGCAGAAATCTTCATTTTAAAACTGTGATTTCAGCCTCCCCCCACACTCCCACCTTTGCCTTAGTTTACGCTCTTTTCCTCCCCTAACCTTTGTCACCCTGTGGCTCTGCAGGATGCGGTGCAGGGTTTCAGGAAACTTGAGCCACAGTGGGCGCCTAGATCTCACATTTCATAACAAAGCAACATGCTCTTGGTGTCAGACATGTGTGGCCTCACTGCTGTCAGAAGTCACCTCCTGTTTGTCTTCCTACTTCGTGCCATTTCTGAGTTTTGCCACACTGATTTGTGCACTCCTGCAGGCAGCCCTCTGTAGGTCTGCGCGCTTTTTAATTGGTAAGCTTTTATGTGCTGCTTTCAGTGACTTTTCTGATAAGCCCTCGCTATAAAAGACAAAGTAAAGAAAAAAAAGCTTCGTTCAGATAAACACAGGACAGCTAAAAACAGCAGCTGCTGCCGCTCAGGCTGTGACTCCTTGCTTGCTACCAAACTTAGAGCGCAAACAGAGATAAAGGCGACAGCTGGATTGTGTTTCCAGTGTTGCGGGTCTTGCCTTTTGCTGTGGGTCCCGGACGGGGTCCTGTCCCTCTGCCTGCGGTTCTTGAACCAGTTGCTGACCTGCGTGAGGGATAGCCCGGTGATTTTGGCCAGGTTTTTCTTCTCGTCCGGAGTGGGATACCTGTTGCTCTTGTAGCACTCTTTCAGGGCATTGCGGGACTTCTCTTTGAAGCAGTACACGGTCTCTTCTCCGTCCCAGATGGTTTTGGGTAGGGGGAACTTCTTTCTGAGCCGGTACTTGTCCACTGCGCCCAGGCTACGGCCCCGGGACCTCTCCGCCTCCTTGTAGCGGGCTTTGAGGTACAGGTCCTGCAGGAACCCGTGGTTAGACGGGTGGAAGTTGTGGCTTTCCAGGATGGCGTACAGCTCCTTGAATTCCTCCCGGTGGAAAGCCACCAGTGCCTGGGCCTTTAGCAGGGTCTCGTTGCCACGTAGCAGCTCGGACGAAGGAGGTATAGTGGAGAGAAATCTCCACAGGCGATCCACATTGCCCGCCTGCAGAAGGGCCTCGCACAGACATGAGACCTGGTCAGTGGAAAAACTCAGCGCCGACTTTTGGAAACTTTGGAGCAGTTGTTCCGAAATTTGGAGCGGATCTTTCTCTTCTTTGGTCTCCGACCCCGCTGGCTCCCCTGTGCTGTTCTCAGATTGTTCTGTGGACTCCAAAGACAAGGAAGCCATTTTCACTTTAACTTTTTTTTCCACCCGTAGTTCCTCCTCCTCCTCCTCCTCGCTCCCTCCCTCTGCAGCGCCGTCCTCTCTCCCATCCTCCAAACCGCGAGCGTGCTCGATGAACAACGGCGGCCACGCCCCTTTGTTCTTCAAGCCGCACAGACATCGGAGGGAAAGCAAGAGCGGTTGCTTCTGATTATCAAATAATCCGATGCAAAGACTGATACGGAGCATTTACATAATTTATTTTTTAATGAAGCAAAGGTAATTAGAAAGCTTTGCTTTTGGATATCTGACATTTTTAAGACATCCCGGTAAATTTCTAGGAGGTAAATTAGGCTTTTATTTTGGAGAAGAAATCTCACATAGAGCTTTTATTTTGGAAACCCCCCCAAAAAACACATCCCCCATAGCTTGAGTATTTAATTTGGAAAAATGAAACTTTAAAGCAGGGGCGAAACTGGGACTGTTGAAGGGGGCCACACGAATAAGCAACCCTCCACAACAGTCCCAGTTTATCGTGTGGCCCCTTTGGATTCTGAATTGCAGGCCTCTCCTTGTAAATATATACAAAGTCAAACTGTAAGTGAGAATTTAAACACTCACAAATGTATATGTAAAATGTTTAATACTACATTTTTTTTTCTTACTGCCTTGTAATAGTAAATACTTTATAAATGTACTTTGAGTCCCGAAGTTCTCATTTAGTCAAGTCAAGTCAAGTGGCTTTATTGTTATTTCAACCATGTGTACAGTACACAGTAAAACGAGACAACGGTCCTCCAAGACCACAGTGCTACATATAGCATATAACAGACAATCAACACAGGACTACATAAAGTGCAATGCACAAAAATTGCAACAAAACAAAACAAAGACAGTACCACACCAGACAGAACAGAACGATGCAGACACAACACTGCAATAGAAATGTGCAAAAGACTGAATATTGTGCAAAAAGTCACTTGGTGTATGAAGGTGTGTGTGTGTGTGTGTGTGTGTGTGTGTGTGTGTGTGTGTGTGTGTGTGTGTGTGTGTGTGCGCGCGTGCTACACAATAGTTTAACATTTATGTTGTTCAGCACCTATTCAATGGTTTAGTATTTTGGAGTTAAGAATGCCATATTTTCATGTATAACCTCCAATAATGTCCAAAAAAAAATACAAACAAACAAACAAAACACTAAACTGTCCCTTTCTTATCATTTTGAATTACATTCAATATTATTGCTGAAGCTACACTGTAAACAATATTTATTATCATAGTTGAAGTGCAACAAATAATAGCTATGTAGGCTGCTGTGAAATAAAAAATATATAATAATAATATCTGTGTAAATGAACCTGCTATAATCTGCTAAATATATGTGATTATTCTGATTAATAACAGATTACCTGTTAGAAGTCATTCTTGGCCAGCCTTTAGTGATGCTTTTATTCAAGGGCAATGCTGGTTGCATGTGTTTTATGTGTGTTGTGCATCGTGTATGGCCATGTTTCCCTGTTTGTTCAGGCTGAACATGTTGTCATCACTTTTCTGTGTGCCTGAGGTGGTTGCCTAATGCAAATACTCTCAGTATAAACACATGCGTGTAGGCACACACAAACGTGTTTAAGTGCAACTGTAACAGGGTCATAAATCACATTGTTATAATTACCCAAAATGTGTTCTAAACCCCCAAACCGTTCCTTTTATACCTGACTTTTAGGACCTCCAAGCCTGTAGTTATGTTCATTGTCAGTTAGAGCCCCTCCTCATTCTTTTCTTCTTCTTCTTTGGTGCAATCCTATAAATACAGTGTACCCCTTTGCCTCTCCCCTTTTCTACAATTCCCCTGTGGGAGAGGTGGGTGTCATTTCTTTCCAACACTTTAAAACACACATGGTCTCTTGTGTTCTGGGGGCCTCTGGATGTCTGGAGTTTTGATCTCCTCCATACCTGCTTCATGCCCTGGAGGACGGGGCTGTGGCCCCCCCACACCCTCTAGCAGATCATTACATAAAGGAACCTTTTAAAAAAACAAACGCGTCCATGCTCACAGGTGTACACACGGGTGATCACACCCACAAACTACACCCTTTTTGGCTCCTACCTCAAAGCACACTGTGTTCTGTTGATCTTATGTGCTGCACAATAATGTTTAATATTTAGTATTTACTGTCATATTCCCATATATCATTGTGATGTTGTTTATTCTATTACTCTTGTTCTCTTCTGCTTGTTTTCTTTTTTCTTTCTCAGCAGGTGATCCAGGTGATTGATATATGCATTTTTTATTTCTTTTTCTTTTTTATTTCTGCTCATTCTGTTGGTTTTTGTTTTTTGCCCTTCTCCCCCGTCCCTCTTCTCAGCTGTTTCTCTTTCCCTCTTTCTTTCTCCCCTTCTTTCCTCCAGTCAAGTCTGTCCCGTATTCAGTAAGTGAAAATAAAATAAACAATAAAAGGTGAATCAAATGGACCATTACGGCAAGGCTGGGATGGTCAATTTGGTAAAGTAAATCCGTTGGGCATCTTTCTTTGCCTTTAGACAACAATTCTGATGGCAAAAGAGCCAAACGGGACAGGCAAAAAAAAAGAAAAAAAAAAAAGAATTCGACACTTTAAATCAGGTCCAGATTGTTAGAGGCTTCACCTGAGCATTATGTATAAAAATGGCTATAATTCCTAAACAGTTAATTCAATACTTTTATTTAATCCCCTTCATTGAAGCCGAAATTCATCATTCACAACTTTATAAGCATTATTATTACAAAAGTAAAATAAGAATAATAATAATTTAAAAAAAAAGAGACAAAAAAAAAACAAACCACACATATAATGCATATTTAGCCACCTGGATGTTTCTGATTGCGATTTTAGTTCAATTATTGTCATTATTAAGCCTGTTTTTGTTAGATGTTATAAGTGTGTAGTATGTGTGTATCATAAATGTGTTTTAGGCGCCATAAATGCTAGCATGAATATATACTCCTTGCTAGCTTGGACGTTGTGTTGGGTTGAGCTAACTCTCTTCCCCACTGTTTGTATTCTTTTACCTTTTTTATCAGGTATGTCGGATTTCATGTTGTTGTTTTTGTTTTATCTTATGTCAAATATGTTACGTGTAAATGCATACTTTATGTTTAATGTAAAAATAAATGCCGCGCCCTTTTCTACCTGCGTGCGGTAGTACCTCCTGCCACGAGTTCCCAGAATCCTTTGCGGTTTTACCCCTGAATGACGTCACATTTTCAATCTCCATCTTCAATCCCCTGTGGGAGAGGAGCTGGAGTGGGCAAATTATTTACTTGGAGGTCTTTCTTTCTTTTACCTTTTTTATCCGACACAACGCAGAATCACACCGGTTACACTACATGTTTCATGTGTTCTCTCAGTACAAACGCATGCGTGTAGGCACACACAAACATGTTTCATGTGTTCTGAGTTTTTACAAAAGATATCTTATTAAACTGACAGAACAAAGACCCATTTAGACTGCTACGCTGTATGTGACACACTATTTCAGTTATTGAAGCTGAAAGGTTGCGTATTTACAGGTCTTGTACCCAAGCTCAAAGATGTGTCAAACAGAGAAAGAAGCCCAGCGTATTTTATAATATGACTTGCAAATGAGCTATGAATGAGACCATGCTGCATCTCCATTAACAACCACAGGCATGTAAATCCTCACTGTGGTGCTGTAGGCTTGTGTCATCCCCCCCCCCCCCTTATGTTTTCTTGAGGTTCTCAGCTTTTTTGACACTTCTGTTTTCTGTCTGTGCTTTAATTTACTCACCACATATCTGGGTTTTATCAGGGGAGATTTCTTTGTTAGTCGACCAAGTATGAAATAGCAATAGGGTAAAAATTGTATAATAGAGCGTAGTGCTTATAATCAAACTCTACGAATACTCTGTCTTAAATATATATTTTAAAACAAATCCATAATAAAGAGAAAGTTTCCAGCTTAGTCTTCTACATAGTTTATTTTGGACTTCAGCGCCACTATGTGGTTATTTCTACGGTCGCATTTACTCCTGACGAATGATTGGCCACCATTTGTGCCAATCTAGCGGTCAATAGGCGGGTCTTGAGGGTCTGTTTCTTCGTATCGTAAAGCTATTGGTTAAAATTTCTCCTTCCTACGTTGTGATTGGCCGTGTTCCAGTTTGGAGGCGGGTGGAACCTTCCAGAGTTGGGCGTAGCAGGAATTGAGGTTATAATTTTCTGGCAAACCCACAGATCTAGGCTACATGCACCATTTTCACTGCTATTATAATCAAGTAGTCATGAATACTTCCGGTTAATTGTAGATACAAAGATCAAAGGCCTTTTCAGCACCATCGAGGAAAATATACATAATCTGTAAGTAACTATGGCAACCTTGCCGTCTGTCTCAGGGTCCCGAGTGAGTCCAACGTGACTCTGCTAGCCGCCCAGTGGCTAACGTAGCTAGCTACTCTAAACTACACAGCTAAAAAATGGTTATTTAAAATTATACGCTCACAGCTAATATGACGAATAAACACGAGAGACCAAGCATATATGTAAAATTTAACTTCAGACAGGATTAATATCAGAGAAGGGCTTAAGTAGCTACTATCGGTGGAAAAGGAGCAGTTTTTTGGAAGTCTTTGTGGTTGTTTGACTATTGACTTAAATTTGTTTGCAGCTATGAGATGGCGTATGAGCTTCAGTCCCGTTGGCTGAATGGGTCACGTTATTTTTTATTCCTGTTTTCAGTGTTTGATTAATACCCGAGTCCAAGGAGACAGGAAAATGGACAGCGGAGTGACAGTAATAACCAATCCCACGGTGAATGTGCGCTTAACAAGCACCCTCTCCTCCTTCGAGGTGCAGCGCAGGTTCAACAGAGGGATCAGTATAGCAGAACTGAAGGTGAGACAGCATACAGCGCACCACTAAAACCCTCAAGGATGGGTCTGTTGTTGGGTTTTCTCTTTGTTAACATATCTGTTGATATTGAAATGACACATTCAATTGATAACGTCACCTCTTTTGTGTTACATGAACTATTTGCAACGTTGCATTCAGGGAAAGTTGGAGATGATTATGGGTGCACCGGCCTCCTGCATGGACCTGGAGTTATTCAGCATATCTGACAAGTTCCTGCAAAAAATGAATGAGAATGAAGCTCTGCTAGGATCGTATCCTGTGGATGACGACTGCAGAATACACGTATGTCCCAGCTCTGTTGGGAGCTTCTTGTAATACTGTGGCTCAGATCACTGTGATGTTGGAGTAAATACAGGTTGAGACAGGTTTTTAGTTTATTTCACTTGAATTGAACGTGCTATCTGTCAAAGTTACTTTCACAGAGAGAGACATAATGACATATGCTGGCTGAATGATCAGCTTTAAATGTTTACTCTGAGAGGATTTATATAAAATTTTAGAACAATAATGTGTTCACTACACAACTTCTAACCTCAGTCAGAATTATACCACTTTGTTTTTAAGCATGTATATGAGGTCACGTAATGGATTAGTGTCTGATTCTTTAATGGAGATTCAGCTGTGGTAGTGTGTGGGGAGCTCTGGATTGTCTATCTATTGTTAATGGGTCAGTGTCAAAAGTACAACTATTCTGTAGGCCAGTCTCGATTGTGCTGCTGCTGGTCTGTTAGCCAGCCACAGAGAAGAGTGTTGCAACATACACAAAGTAGAAGGGAAACCAAGTTTTTAAAAACAATGAAAAGTATCCAATCCAGATACTCTTTGCATGCATCTCCTGTCCCCGATGAACTCCAATATTAGTTCCTTCCCTATTCATGCCCATTTGTCAACAAGTCACCATTGAACTGATGTGCAGTGTCATCCACGTCAAGCACTGTGCAGTTGGGAGTTTGGGGGGACTGCACGGGAGCATGTTTGCAAACTTCTCTCTGTGGACTCTTGTAGGGAAATACCTCAGAAAGGAGATTCAACTGCAGTACAATAAATTAAGCATAATCCAGTCATCTGAAACTCATGTACTGATGTATCAAAAAAATTAGAATATCATGGAAAAGTTAATTGCTTCTGTAAATTATTTCAAAAATTAAACATCTATTATCATTACATGTAAAGAGAAACGTTTTGCTGCATTTATTTTATTTTATTATTATAAGTTTGTTGATAATGGCTTGTAGCTTGTTGCAATCAGAAATCTCATATTGGAATATTTAATTTTGAGTAGTTGATGCAAGAACTTGGGAGAGCTTCACAAGGACCAAGACTCTAGCCAGTGCACTAAGCAACGTGTTTAATGTGGACATCATTTAAAAGCCATTCGTATATACTTGGGTTATCTTTGTCTAATATAATTTGTTGATAAACGTGTAAATGTAACAAATATGCAACAAATTAAGAAAGCACCGCAAGGGTGGGATTTTTCTATATTTTTTATTTTAGACAAAAATCCTTTAATTCCTACGACTAGACTAAACTGGTTTACGTTTCAGCATAGTAACACTGGCATTACATGATTCTGGTTTAACAACACAGTTGAATATATTGGGATAGAGCATCCCTCTCTGGCATTGAATGGGGTTTTTAGTTAAGTGTCTGAATCCCAAATCTATTCACTCTGCATGCATCCAGAAACTTTGATGTCCAAAAATAAGAACTCTGCTGTGCAGATAGTGTTTTAATGATTGAAAAGGTAATAATCCTTTCCATTTAAATACACTAGCACTCACTTAAATTGTCCAGTAAGTGTAAAACTGATTTATTGTTAAACAACAATAATGTTACAATTACCACACTAACAACAGTAAACAAAAGATCATATCTAAGTTGCTAAAAGCTAAAGTTCTGGTGGCTTTTATAGGCTGTTACTAAGTCACAACAGCGTGACTTAATAATTGCTTGTCTTTCACGTTGTTTCTCTTACAGGTTGTTGATAGAAGTGGCGGGCAGATGGGCGAGTTCACTGATGTTTCCAAAGTGGAGAAATTTGAGCTCCCAGATGATGCTTATGATAAGAGAACAGGTACAGTATTTTTTATTTAAATAAATAAAAAAATAAGTCAGCTGAATGGGAAGTATGTCCATGATCGTTAGTTGCATTCTGCACTTGTTCTGTTTATGTTTTTTAAGCTAACTATTGATAGCTGGTTCCAATGTGGATGACTTACTTCATGAGAATGAAGATGAATAGACTTCAGTCTGTTTTGAAGAGCTTTGCATTTATCACAAACTGTGTCTTTCCTTCAGACACAGCCAGGTCATTTATGAAGAAGCAACGTGTGGGTCGCTACAATGAGGAAGAAATGGCCAAGAAGAAGGCGGAGAATGCTGCACGGGAAGAGGAGCAGAAGGCTGCTGCCGATGCCATTGCTGTTGGCAGCCGCTGCAAAGTGCAGGTCCCCGGTCAGCCCACGAAGCTTGGCACAGTCATGTATGTTGGTAAGTGTGGATAAAGCTGAGCTGGTTTACTTTGTGTAGGACATTAGTGTAAACCCTGTGCTGCTGAGGATTTTCTGTCCTGCAGAGCAGACTTTGCTGTCATTTATCTAAGGCCCATTCCCAAATCTGTGATGTCAGTGGAGGACAAACTTTTTTTTTAGTACGCTAAATATCACGTTTGGATTCTGCGTGTTTTGTCCATCCATCCATCCATCCATCCATCCGATTCCGCTTATACTTTTCAGGGTCGTGGGGGGCTCTGGAGCCTATCCCAGCTGTCTTATGGCGAGAGGCAGGGTACATGCTGGGCAGGTCGCCAGTCTGTCGCAGGGCTAACACATTGACTCCCACATTCACACCTATGGGCAATTTATTGTTTCCAATTAACCTAACCCTACTGTTTTGTTTAATCTATTTTATTAGCAGGTTTTAAGTCTGCCTAGAAAATCTAATTACATTTCCTGTGAGGTGAACATGTTCTAGTTTAGTTTGAAAGCAGCTTTACCTGAGTACTAATGCCAAGTGTCACCCTCCAAAAACATAGCAAATAAAAGTGATTCAGTTTAGGTAGTTTGTTAACTTCAATAACAAACTACCTAAACTATGAGGTTATGTTGTTGTTAGCATTTCCATGCGTGCCATTCTTTCTGTCTGTACGATGGCTTAAAAAGTTTTGAATGAATTCTTCTAAAACTTCGTAGTGGTGTAGAGGGGGGTCATGTTAACAATCCATTAAAACTGACATCTGCCAAGGTCTTCAAGGTTAACTTAATGATCATCAACTTTGTTGGTTGATAATTGACAAGAAGGCTTATAACTATGACAAGTCTGGTGTGTATTGTCAAACTATAGCAAGTACCGTATGCAGACTTAAAATAGTATGTCATGTTTGACAAAATGTGTTATTTTTACTGCACTACAAACTTCTAGGAAAATAAAATACTAGTTCCTTAAAAGTAAATACTTCCCAGAGAGTGAGCTGCTTTGGTGGGGGTTTGCACTTCTTTTTTCATATAATATCATTATTGTGAAGTCAAAGTCTTCCTAATATGCCCTGCTAGAGCTCAATAAGTGTTGCATTTCTTGCAGGAACAACAGATTTCAAGCCGGGCTACTGGGTGGGTGTGAAGTACGATGAACCACTGGGCAAACACAATGGAACGTAAGAGGGCCTTTTTCTGGCTTTGTTTTTAAATAATTCAAAGTTTCAGTGACGCTGGTCCTGATTTCTGACTCTGCCTTGTTTATTGTATCTCTGTAGTGTCGAAGGGAAGCAGTACTTTGAGTGCGAGAGCAAATATGGTGCGTTTGTGAAGCCCCTGAGTGTGACTGTGGGGGATTTCCCTGAGGAGGACTACGGTTTAGACGAGATGTAGGTGTAGGGTAATTTCCAATAAACGAATTTCAAAAAATGAGAGTCTATGGCTGACGCGTGTTCCTGGTTTCCAAAAGAAATGCTTCCAGTTGCATTATGATTTGAAGACTGTTTATTTATTACAAACTGAAGATGTAACAATGAACTCCTTCCTAAAAAAGCATGAAAGTTCCAAAAAATAGCAGTTATCCAGAACTAGCTGTGCACACGGTCAGAAAACCGTGAGACTCCTAACCTCTCTGTCCATGCTCCTCCCCTTCCCTCTCACACAGGGTTTCATGCTACTATTGCACTTACATACTTAAAGTGAGAGGTACCCCCTTTTAGGTTCCAATCCCAAAACAGTGACTTAAAATTACTTTATGTAAACACATATATTTTCACATTTATTAATCCTGAAAAGATGACTTATGTAATGAATCTATGAATTATAAAACAAACATGAACTCAATCGTAAATAAAAATATAAAGCAGACGTCTGGCGCGTACAGTAGGACTGCAGTTTTCTGCCCCAACCTCGCACCTTTATCCGCTCACCAAGATGGCGCGTCATTTTAGTGTGGCAAATTAGAATTGTTTTGCCTGTGCTTCTCTGGAAGGCATGATCCTAAAGCACTCTCTCAGTAACTTGACAGACTTTTGGGTTCTCGTACCAACAGGCATTTCATAAGGTTGGGGATTTTTTTCTTTTTTGCAGCAAAATGAAGGTTTCTGTTGTTTGTTCCTTACTACAAACACTTCTGTTCAATTCATAGCGCTTCCTGTAATTGTACTTTATTTTTGTTCTCATGTTTAGTAAATGTCATTGTGTACAAAGATTATTGTATATAGCTGTTTATAGTTATCTGTAGTCTTTGCATTTCTTTTTTGGTTTAAAGACTGAGTTGCTGGTAGGAAAAAATCACCCAGCCACACTTTGACACTAAGATAAAAAGCGGCATTGTGTTACTAACTTTGTATAAGTGAGTTAAACCCGAGGTGCTTTTTCTTCCTGTCATTTAAGATTCTTGCTCGCTGGCAAATTTAATGTCTGACTCACAAGGATTTTGGCAGAAGAGGAAGAAACAGTAGATCCCATCTCACCAGATATATTTCCTACTCTTTTTCGTCGTACTTTGCAGTTAAAAATTTCCTCATAGACAAACCGTGCCTGAAATTTTTGTGCCAAAGTGTGCAAGGGTTGATATTCTTCTTTTTTCTTTAAAAGTTAAATTCGTTATTTTTGTTTGGACGTAGGATGTGCAACAGTCCAGATTTTAGCTTTCAGAGCAAAGATAAAATGTAATTTCCATTAATTTTTCTGTGACACGATTGTTCTTGTTAAACATTAAATTTGTGCGCTTGAATGTATCATGCATGTTTTTGAACCACTGGACTAAAAGAGCTTTCGCATTTAAAATTTGATGAGGCTCAATTTTACTATTTTCTTCACTGAGCAATTTGAATTTACTTAAAGCTCCAGTCACACATGCCTACAGACCGACCAGCGACCCACTGGCAACCCAAAAATATGACTTCGAGCAACCGCTAAATCACTGAAATTCAACTTTTCATTGGTTGGTGATGGAGAATGCATTTTTTTCTCTAGTGACCAGTGATTGCTCACTGATTGCTCAGCCTGAGCTCTACTGTATATAAACTGGATGTTTAAAAAAAATCTAAGCGTGAATCTAAAAACTATGAGTTTATTCCAGTTATTAGGTGAAACTTGTTACTCAAGTCTGAAACCTGAGATGGATTTTATATTGCATCAAAAAAAACAACCCCCTCCAAACATATTTTCAAGTCTTTAATTGCTGCAGTTTAATGTAAACACAGCATGTAAAATTTCACAGAGAACATAAGAATCAGAATACTTTATTAGTCCCAGAGGAAATTATTTAAATGTTAATAAGATTCACACTTGAGTAAACTCTGAAATAAACCTGGTTATGATTACCGCCTGTAGCACCCTTACCAATTGTTTTTGTGAAGTATACAAAGTACCTTCAGATGCATTTTGATCGTACATACTCGAAGGCCATCAAGTTAAAACACAAGGTAAAGCACAAAAAAAAAAACTGTCCTCATTGTGCTCACAACACTCACTCTTGGACTGTGTTTCAAATGGCCTTATTTATGCTTTGTTTTATGTTACTGATCAAAACCTCTTCATGTCTTTGTCCTCTGTTGCTTATAGAACAAATGTAAAAGTCTTTTTAAGGAAATGTCACACATGGAAGATTGTCCAGGTGTTTTCTCTCTTCCTTAAAATCTGTGTCTATCTGAGGTACTGGTGTTATGTGCCAAAGCGTAATGATTAGAAATGAGAAGTGTTTACCAGTACACTTATAGCTTATTAAAGTGAGTGAATCTATTTGATTTGCAGTAATATTCATTTCTTATCATATGTCAATCTGGTTTCCATTTTGTTTTACAGCTTCTCCAGGCAATAGAAACTCACTCGACTCACATCAGTTCCTTCTTCAGCCCCTGGTACTATATTTTCTCAATTGTGTCTCTCATCAGGACCTCTGGCCACTTATTTTTGCCTTTCAGTGTATGCGGTCTCAGCTTTTATCCTCCATCCTGGTACTACATGCGGCAGCTTTGTACACAGTCTGCAACTTATCAGCTGTCCTGCCTCTATAAATCTGGGGTTTAGACCCTGTTCTTATGTTGCCATCATCAGAGCCTCTGTGCTGTCCTTTAGGCTTTTTCAAGCCATTAGTGGGATTTCTTGATGTGAGCCACTTCTATATGTCAATAGAACATCCCATACAGGGGTTCGTCCTTCAGTGATTGTTCCTGCTCTGTGTTTCTTCCTGGATCATGGCTCGACACTCACTAACCTCACTCCACACCCTCCCTCTTTCTGCTGCTCATAGAGCCTCAGGGTGCAGGACTTCAGATGGAGATCTTAGTGCATTGCAAGGAGTTATTGTGTTTTGACATCTATGGTATCTATCTCCTCCTGTAGCCAGCTGGATAGTGTAGTGACAACAATGCTCTCTTTGGAACAGTAGGTCAGGGTTTCAAATCCCAGCTCTGGTAAGGGTCTTTGGGCTAAACTCCCATGCAATCCAAACTCACTTTAGAGTATGAGCGACAGATACATAACTAAAGACATACTGACTTGGAAATCCCCTAGCTTAACAGCATGACAAGTGGACTGAGAAGCTATAATAAGACATACATGGACAAGGACTGACAGCATGTAATTAATGGCTATGACCCAATTAGAGAGGTTATATGCAACACCTGTGAGAACTATGGATGGATGAATAGAAAGATAACACCAATGATGAGAAGCAAGCTTTTATTTTGGTGTACTTTTTGCTGATTAGCAATTCAAAATTTAAACTCCTTTTCTAAAAAATGTTTATTTTCTCAGTTTGGAGTTATTTTTTCAGAAGTCCAAATTTTGCGATAATAACCCGAAATTTAGCCTTGTGGATAGTATGTCTTTATCCTCCCCACTTTCGGAAATAAACTTCTATTTAATGCTGCAATAACCATAAAAAAATCTACTAAGTCATTCATTAGGTGATAAAATAATCTTTTTATTATTAATTAACTATTTATTTATTTATTTTTTCATTTTATTGTTACATGATCGAACATTCCTGACGAAGTGTGTCACGGGGTTTCGCCGGCCCCGCCCAAAAAACAGAAAAAAAGATCACCTGACTTTATTCATCGCATTTTCGATCACTTCTCTGAAGACGTAACTACAGTCTTCTCGCGAGAGTACGCGCAGTTTCCCAGCCAGCAGTGTGGTGCGCTTGTAGAGACGAAGAAAGATGGCGACGCAGGAGAGCGGAGTAACCAAAGCTACCGTGAGCAACGGCGAGGTAAAAATGAATGACACTGTTACTGGGTTTTTCACTTTTAACGCGCGAGGCAGAGGAAGTTGGTTGGTTTGTGTGAAGCTCGCGTGTGGGGGTGCGCTGACATTTAAACGTGATCACAGTCGATACACGAGCCACAGTGACGTTGTCAGTGCCGGGTGGTTTTAAAACGACCCCCCTCCTGGCGCTAACGATGTGTAGAGAAATCCCGACGGTAAGCGGCGAGAAGGCCGATGTTGAAGTTGAAATCTCACTTGAAATCACACGGTAACCTCCAACGGACTCGGTAATTAACCGACTGCCGGTGTGCTGAAGTGAGCCGAGTGAGTGCTGGCGTGTGTCAGTTAGCTTATCACAAGGCCTGAACCTGAACAACGCAGCTTGTCTTGCTTAACAAGGCCAGTCTCAAGCCCCTCTCGCACATTTCTCACCTCATGCTAAAACCTTCCAGCTACTGTCTACTTAGATATTTCAAGAAAACTTTTGACTCGAGGTGCATTTTCGAAATCCCCTAAAGGGGAAAAAAAAATGCATATAAACATCCTATTCACCTGAGAGCTTTTTAACACGGATAGAGTGGATGAATCAGGTGTAGCCGTCGTCAAATGTAGCCAACCATGAAAAATGCTCCTAAAATTGTCTTGTTAGCACTGGAGCCTTAATGAGGGCAGTAGCTAGCAGTTATTTTCCAAAGTCGAAAATGCTTATCACAAGCTGCTAGAGGTCATTGTGAATCATCGCTCTCTTTTTAGATGGCTAAACATTACTCTTCCGTTTGCTCAATCCTCAAAAATGTGTAGTGACACAAATACTGAATACAGGAGCATGACTGTAAAGATTGTAAATGCGTATCCATTCTCTATTGAAGACTGACACAGTCAATGATTGGCTTTTTATGATTCAATCTAAAGTATTGATAGCAACTAATGTATTGTTTATCGAGTACAGTTGCATAGCAGAGATTTTACCCATTTGAAATCGGAAATGTACTGGTTCTTATATAGCTATATTTCCTATATTCTACTCTCCTTGATGAATGCATTGTCAGTAACTCAGGGTTCAGTATCTTGCCCAAAGATACGTTTGAACGCAGAGTGGAGCCAGGGATCAAACCATCAGCTCCAGATGACCTGCTCCAAGCAGTCACAGGGTGAGAGGCAGATCGACAGTGTATTGTAAGGCTAACACAGAGAGACATAGAACCACACATGTCTATGGCAAAGAATCACCAATTAATTTAACTGCAGGCAATGCAAACTCAACACAGAGAGACCCCAGGTGGCCAAGGTGCATCTTCCTGTTACGCCACTGTGCTAACCACTGTACTACCATGCCGCCTGATTCCAAATAAAAATGACTGTGTATCTGTATTGTCATCTTTTGCTACATGTTTTCTGTCAAAGAGAGAGAAAAAAAAAGCTTTCTTCTGTGCTTGAAATTCTGTGAATACACACATGTCAGAAACTAGGGTGAGGGTAACGCATACACAAAGTGTTTCTTCTGTAATAAAATTGCTCTGTCAGGATAAATGTGCTGTTGTTTTTAGAGTGAGCCCTAACGGGTCTCTTGAGGGCCACTACTAGGTGAATCTGTTGATTGAATTGCTTGTAATGGGGTGGGGGTGGGGGGTTACTGATGAGTTAATAACACTGATTATCTTGTCAGTGAGTGAACAATGAGCTCCTAAAATAAGTTTGTTGAAAGAAGGAATAAAAAGTGTGAGGATCTGAGTGACTTTGATGTGGGCAGATGTCTGGGAGTATCTCTGTAGGGTGCTAGCTGTATGCAGTTGTTAGTACATAGAAAAAGTGATGAGAGGAATGTCAACCAGTGACCCGATGGAGAACTGTCCACTGGTCCAATACAGAGAAGATTTCTGTATGCCAGCTTGTTGTTTAGCTCCAGGCTTGTCAGCTCAGTAGCCCCTTAGATAGTTGACCATGGGTTTGGACCATAAAAATCTGGAAGGTGGTTTGAGGAAGTATCATTATATTTATACGATGTGGAGGACTGGGTACGGTTACAGCAATTAACTGGGGAAGAGGTAGAAGCAGGATATACTGTTTGGGGGTTGGAGGAGGGAAGAGAAGAGTGATGCTCCCGGTTTGACTCTCTGGTAACCTTGGATCCTGGTATTCGTGTGTGCTGCTTTGACAAGTACTACATACCTAAACATTAGGGACCTTGGGTAGCAGTGATTGAATGAAATCTATCACAGGCCAAGGTGGTCAAAAGAAAAACAAAACCTTTGAGCACATCCTGTTGTACCAGCCCAGATTTCAGTGCAGGGAGAGTTTTGATATATATATACACACACACACACGTGTCATTTTTCACCCTGTCCTCCTTTACATGCAGCTGCATTGAGAGTTCTAGTATGCAGCTACTATATTCAAGTTCAACACTTATATATCAACCCCACGTCCTTTATCTGCTGACTGTATCATAGAATAAATGAGGGAAACGGCCTCATCTGGCGCAGCTGCTTATCAGCCAACTGTCCAGTTACATTGAGGGTCTGAGCCTCTGGGGAACTATCTATAAAAATTTCTGTATTACCAAAATAGTTAGCATGGTATCTTTGTGAAACCCCTTGAATTAAGGCACTAAAGTCTGCCATGTTGATTGTTTGATATCAAAACCACTGTGGTGGTGTACAGAGTGTGTTATTGTCCTGATATTGATATACTGCATTGTTTGAGCTGGCATGTAGGAGATAATGTCACCATGTTAGAGACACATTACCAGAGCCTGTGAACAATTGACTTATGTGAGTGCTTAATGTTAGACTCTGTGATAAATTAAGGATCTGCTGTGAACCAAGAATAGGTGGTTAATTGTTAATCTTTGTTTCAGAGGGTGTAAATTGTAAATGATTATCCTAAGCTGGAAGAGAGAGGCTCAACAATAAAAACAGGTTATCAGGGGATCTATCTGTGTAATGGTTATTATGTTGATCCCATCAAGACTCTAAGATCCTTGTCTGTTTAGCGAATTGCTTCTATTTTAACGCAGCAGGAAAAGTACTGGGCACTGAGGGTGAAAGGACCTATTTTGAGCCAATCCGTGTCCTTGAAACGGTCTGATTATGATGTTGTTAGGTCAGTGTTTTAACAAAAACTTAAAAAAATTTCAAAACTGATGGTAATCTGTTTAAACATAAAACATTTTTTTGCCTCAAGTCATGTTTTGTTTCTGCTGGCTGACTGCTGGTTGGTGACAACAGGGGAGATTAGATGTTTAGATAGTGAATGAGTCTCATGACTTGGCATGTGTTTGTCTATTGTGTCACTTGAATAGAGGGTGGCCTTGCCACAGGGGTGGTGGGGGTTACATGGACATGGAGAAACCTGGAAAAAAAATGAATTAAAGGGCAAATGTATGACAGATTTCACTGAAACCAGGGGAAGTTGCATAATCATGCTGACACTGTTATCAAAGGTTTTGAAACCAGGGGTTCCCAAAATGGGTTGTCTTCATTCAAAATCAGGTGTGCCATAGGATTTTGTAAATGGTGGTTCATTAAATATAAAAATGTGAATGTTTTAAGACTCTACTACTTTATTAAAAGAGAGAAATTTAGAGAGGTGTTTGTTTTTTCCATATAGGTAATACTGATCTGACCCACTTGAGATCAGATTGGGCTGTGTGTGGCTCATAAGCTAAAATGAGTTTGACTCTCCTGCTCTGTTAGGTCAACAGGTCACAATAGGTAAATAGGGATTTGCCAATATTATTATTATTTTAAGTGATGTTTATTCTGTAGCAGAGGTTTTGTTTGTTATGTAGCTTCTTTTAGCTGCTCTGTTATTCACACGGGGTCATCACAGGTAGTATCTCCACATGTTTGATTTAGATTTTTTTTTTTTTTTTTTTTTTTTATGCCCAGGGCCTTTCCTAACCCAAGCCCAAAGAGAATCTTCTCCTCTCAGTATCAAACTGGGGATCCTCTGCTTAAACAGCTGCTTTTTAGGTCTTTCATGTTTGTTACTTGCTATTAAGATTTAAGTGCATCAGTGAGCGACAAATCCGCTGTTCTTATTTAAAAAGTTAAAATGCAAAGGTCGAGGTGTAGTTAACTCTTAAGGCCATGTAATAAAAGACCCCGAAGAACTGCGGTTTGTCACCGTAACTGCACCTTTTAGTCTTTACAGCTGCACTACATCGTACTGTATGTTCTTTGTTTTGGCTGCAGATTGAGGAAGAATTCTTGAATAAATCATATCACCACTTTAGGCTTTCAGGAAAGTACATTGGGTCTCTGGATATTTTTACTGTCAATAAAGCTCTTTATTTTTAACATCCTTTCTTACGTTGTGCCGTTGCTGCGTCATCTTTGTGACTATCTTTGACCCTGTCTGTATGTTTCATTTCAGGTAAGCAGCAATGGGACTGCTGCAACAACAGATGGCCAGACTGTGCAGACAGCTGGAAATGCACAGGACCCTCAACAGCAACAGCAGCAACAGCAAGCTCCTAATGCATGGCAGGTCATTAAAGGAGTTCTCTTCAGGTGACTTATTGCATTTTTTTTTCTTCTGTTTACCAGCACACAGATAATCATTCGCTCTGTGGGCTGGCTGTGAGTTTAATGACCAACCAAATGTGTTATGCCACAGTGGTGTCAGAGTGAATGTAAATGGTAAGGTAATAATAAAGGTGTGAGCTGCTGCTGGAGTATACTGTAAAGTTTGCGGTCTACATTGTTTAGTTTCATTGTGGGGTTTTTTTGTGCAGCATAAATAATTAAGAGGAAACTAGTGATGGATCATTGTGTCTTTCCAAATACTGTCTCACACACAGTGGGACTGAAACAATAATTCAAACCAGGAATTGAACTTTATTCAAGGCCACTAAAAAATAGATTATAGTCTGTTGTGGATATGGTCACGGACAGATGGAGACATGACATCCGAGCAGTCATTCCTGTTATCCGTCTTTGATGTCCGCTTAAAGTCTGTCACATGGGGAGCATGTGTATCCAAAAAAACAGGCGTGCATGGGGACGTCCACACAGAATGTTGAGCTGACGAAATTTGTCATTGGTACACAAGCGAACCTATAGCGGACACATAAAGTATAGTCTATGCCTAATGCCAGACTCGCATGTTAAAATCTTTGTGTGTGTCACCTCTTCTGCCACTATGAGCGCAGGGCACTCCACAAGCTGTTTAGTTACCTGCTACCACTGATGTTGCTGCTGTAGCTAGGTGAGGTGGAGTAACACAAACTAGGCTGTCCATACTGCTTTGGTTGGCACTGCCAGTTTTATTTCTTTCCCTAGAAATTACTACCTCCTTTGCCGTTACTTCACGCACATTGTGAAAGATGCATGATTGATTGAGGAGCAATGTGTTGACTTCCTTAACAATTTTATGCCAGTATAAGTGACTAATCTCTCACAGTGACCTTTGTAACAGTCAGAAATTTTGCAGCAGGCTTTTCAGTAAGTTTCCTCCTGACTGCATGATTTATTTATTTTTTTATTTATGACTTTTTGGTCCAAGTTCGTAAATAAGGTAAAATCCATGTATGCATGATCACAAAAACTTAGTACGTGTTATGAAGTGTGCAGGACCTTTTTTTTTTTTTCTTTCTTTCTTTCTTCTATAGTCAAATTAATAGTTGACTTACTCTGAGTGTGAGAGCTTTGTAGGAATATCAGTTCAGTTTGATTTATATAAATCCAATTCACAACAACAGTTGCCTCAAGGTGCTTTTTATGGTGGGTACCTGTGCTGTAACGGCTAGCTGTCTGATGGCCATTATCCAGCTATGGAGGAGCTCAGCTTTGATTTCAGTATCATTGTACACTCTTTGATGAGTTTAGCAGTTTTACATTTTTTGAAATGTTCCTGTATAATAAAAATGTACGGTACATTAGGGTAAGTGCTCATTTAAAAAAAAAAAGCTGGACCAGAGTAGTACTTTTTTGGCACCTTGTTTGAATAACAGGCTTTGGCTGCTTTTCCTACCTTTGGCAACTGCTCAAGCAGAAGAAGAGGCCCATTTATAAGATTAAGAAGATTATATTGCAATAATCAGTTAAAACCCTTCAGTTAAAATCTTTGGCACTGAATATTTGAACACATTTCAGGATCATGATTTGGAAACACGAGTGTTATGATGGTATATACGTTTTCTTAATTTATGTTGCTGTTTCCTGTGGTTGTAAGATCGCAAGTGCAATAAAAACAACCCATTTGCTCTACTTCAGTAAAAATAATTATTTCACTTTTCTCTGTAAGTGCATTTTAGTATATGGTGGGTCAAGGAAAAAATGAAAATGGTCACATCTGTCACATATAGTAAACTGACCCTCCACTGTATGGTGTGTTGTATATGTCACTAGTACATGGACTCTTAAAGGAGTTTTTATGGGCAGCTGTGTGCCACTCCCCTGCTGGCCTGCTCTCAAACTTAGTTTCAACAAAGAAATTTGTAATTGTATTTATTTGTGGCTTGATTGGGGCATTTTCTATCAGGGGAAGCACACAGTGTCCTCTCACACGCCTTGATATAGATTTAATTACTTAACACTGCAAAATCCATGGAGGCAGCTGTCCTTGGGTGTGGTTGGCGATCATGATGGATGTGTTCTACTGTGCAAGAAGCAATCACAGTAGTCAGATGAACTGGTCATGGGGGTCAAACGTGTTCGGGTATGATCTGTGTGAGCAGAGTGTAAGGGAGGTTTGGCATACTGGGTCCAGTCAATAATCGACACACTTCCCCCTCAGCCACACAGACTAAGTAACATGGAGTAAGGACAGAGAGCGTTTTCACATTAGAGATCTGCATTAAAATATCAGACACAAAATCCATTATTTCTGTTAGTTAGAACAACACAAAAGGAAAGAGGTGCTGTGAATATTCACTTAAAATCACAAACACACAAAGTTAGGGTGGATACAAATGAAAAATTATTTGAAATATTCTGCAGCATTTTCTTTCTTCTTTTGTCTTTGTAGATTATTCTAGTTTGACTCATCACCCTTGTGTGAGGCAGGAAAACAGTTTCTTTGAAATGTAATGCAGTTAGACTGGTTAAACTTTAATCTGATTAGCTTCCTTGCAGTTTAACTCGCCTGCAGCAGCTCTTTTTATTTAGAGATGGTTGAAATAAATAACCTTGTCTAAGAATTTGAACAGTTTTTGAAGTGTTAGTGACTCGATTCATTTCCCACTTCTCTTTTCCTCTTTTATGTTTTTGTTTCTCACTTATTTTCTTTTAATTCCTTGTTAGTTAAACCTTGTTTTCCTCTGACTGTGATTGCATTTGTTTCACCAGAATCTTCATAATCTGGGCGATCAGTAGCTGGTTCCGCCGAGGGCCATCCACTCCTGACCCCAGCACACCAGCCGGTGCCCCCAGGGTACCCAGCAGGAACCTCTTCCCCAAAGACACTCTCATGGTATTACACTGTCCCCTTTTCCTTTCCTTTATCTACCTCGTCAGCTGCATAATTGTTTATTTACCACACAGCAAACCAGTTTTCTGACTGTTTCTAACTGTTTCAAAATGATAAACACCTTTATTATCTCTCTCTTTCTGCAGGATCTGTACGTGTACGTGTCCCAGGAGGAAGTCTTCTCTGACTTCAACAACACAGATGCCCTGTTCTGGTTCCACAGGGATCTGGTCTATGGAGACTGGACCACAGGGGAAGATGGTGATGGCTGCTACCAGCACTATAAGGAAATGGATATCCCAGAAGTAAGGATTACTATGGATGAATTGGGGGAGGGTGACAGACAGTAGTTGGACGGTGAGAAAGAACAGTTGTTAGTTTAGGAAATGTGACGGATGTTGATGAAGGACGGGAAAGTCCAGTTTATAGTGAAGTTTGCATATTTGAAAGCTGTTTATTTTTGTCTGATTTTCTTTTTCTTCCACTTTCTGTCTGATTGTAGAAAATACAGCAGAACGGCTCACTTTACATACACCTCTACTTCACTAAAAGTGGATTCCACCCAGACCCCAAACGAAAGGGGCAGTATCGCAGACTGGCAACAGTTCACGCAACCAGAAGTAAGCACCTTTGAAAAGCACACTCGCTTTAACATATTATCCTGTTGTTGTAATGTTTGTTTAAAGTGCTAAACTTTGCTTTTGAACTCTTTCAGTGCTGAATAAATATAAGCGAAGAAAGTTTCTGAAGACCAAGAATCTGCTCACAGGAGAGACGGAAGCAGACCCCGAGATGATCAAGGTTAAGATTATTATTTATCCTAAAAAGGAACTGAGTTCAGCGCAGAGAGCTTCATTACTTTAATTCCTAATGCATACTTCACATATTGCAAGTATGTGAAGTAATTTCTAGGGTTTTTTCAATTTCCAGTTAATGTATTTGAGGTAGTTGCCTTCACATTTTGCAGCAGAGGAAAAATAGACGAAGATCAAAGACTTTGGAAACAGAACCATTTATTGGCTCTCTCACAGTCTGTAAATGATTGCCCTTTACCGACGTCTGAACAGAGGAACTTTGAAAACTCACAGTCAATGATTTTACCTTTCTTTATGTATATCTTTATTTGGTTGGTTGATCAAGTCACTTTTATTTTTAAAGCGCATTTAAAAAATAATGTAAACCAACCCAGAGTCCTTTTCTTTTGAGTGCTTTGCTGTTGGACAGGGCTTATTGTGAGTAGATGTAGATAAGTTGCAGTGCAGTTGAGCCCAAAGTGACTTTGCCTTTGTTTGTACTAGTAAGAAGTGTAGCAGCTGTGTGATGATCAGTTTGCAGTTACCAGATTAATATATTTATGTTTGCACTGACACATTGGGTGTTTCCTCACAGCGAGCAGAGAGCCACGGTCCAGTGGAGATTATCTCACATTGGCACCCCAACCTCACTATCAATATGGTGGATGACCACACAGCCTGGGTGAAGGGCTCTGTTCCACCTCCTCTAGACCAGTGTAAGTATCGGAAGTATAATGTGACAGTTATTTATCCGTAGTTTATTTAAAGCTCTGGTTTATCTGACATTACTGCTCTTCTACCCTACCTTATATTAGATGTTAAGTTTGATGCAGTCAGTGGCGACTACTATCCCATTGTATACTTCAATGACTACTGGAACCTTCAGAAGGACTACTATCCCATCAACGAGACCCTAAAAAGCCTCCCGCTCCGCCTCAGTTATTGCCCGCTGTCCTTGTGGCGCTGGCAGCTGTATGCAGCCCAGAACGCTCGCTCACCCTGGAATTTCCTTCCTGAGGACACCTACGAGCAATCCGATGAAGACCAAGACTCAGTCAAGGTAAGGAGTCAAAGGTTACTGAGACGAAACTAAAGTTTTCCTCCTGCAAGTTGGGCTTTAATATTGGTGCTCATTTAGATGCTGTGATCTTATTTCACATATATTTAAAAGAAAGTCTACTTGAGTTGGTATGTGCCAGATGGAGAGGATTTCAAATGCTTTCTAGCAGATTACCTTTTACTTGAAAACAAAATGCAAGACGCGTGATGAGTGGAAACTGGCACTTCATACTTGAGTGACCTCTGCTTCGGGTGTAATGTGGGACTTTGTTATCTTGGTGTCCAAATACAGGCTACTCTAATTTTCAGTTGACACTGTATTAAAGCAAAATACTCGTAGTCCCAATCCCAAATACTTGGACAGGTGCACTTTAGTTATTTACAAAGCTGTCATGTACGCTGTTTCTAGGGTGATTAACTTCTGTAGCAACTGAACATATAGAAGATTCATTGTTTTATAAGCAAGCTGAGTTTAACAATAAAGTCTTTGTGAAGGTGGCCCTCCTGGAAACCAATCCATACCTGCTGGGACTCACCATCGTTGTCTCCATTGTGCACAGCATCTTTGAGTTTCTCGCCTTCAAGAACGGTAAGGTCGCAGCAGTCTGTACTCAGGACTTCACATAACAGGAGGAGAATAGTTTGAACAGTGTGCGCCTACCCGAGTTTGACCTCAGCTCCGTCTTCTCCTCAGATATCCAGTTTTGGAACAGCAGACAGTCTCTAGAAGGTCTATCTGTGCGCTCCATCATATTTGGAGTATTTCAGTCTCTAGTGGTGCTGCTGTACATTCTGGACAACGAAACCAACTTTGTGGTGCAGGTCAGCGTCTTCATTGGCCTTCTCATTGACCTGTGGAAAATCACCAAGGTCATGGATGTCAAAGTAAGTTGAAAAACATTAGTTTTTTCTTGCAGGATGAGCAGCATTTGATTAAACTCTCTAACAGGCTCTTCCTTACCTTTTGCAGATGCTAAACTGTTTATTCATCGAGTGTCGTTTCCACCAGATTCTTAACTGTTGTTGTTTTTCTCTAGTTGGACAGAGAGAACAAATTCGTAGGAGTGTTCCCAAGATTGGTATTCAAAGATAAGTCGACTTATGTGGAGTCTTCAACCAAAATCTACGATGATGTAAGTGAAACCAACACCAGTCACATTCAGAATGGTGAATGTAACAAATGCATTCACATGATTGTCTTCAGAACGGATGAAACATGATTAAATTGGTCTGTTTAAATGTTTATCTGAAGGAAGCTTCTCTAAATATGTATCTCTCTGTAAGTTGCTTGGATATTTCTGATAAAAAGGATGAGTGACATCTTCTTTTCTTCATTATCTCATGAACAGATGGCCTTCAAGTACTTGTCATGGCTGCTCTACCCTCTGTTTGGCTGCTATGCGGTCTACAGTTTATTGTACGTAGAGCACAAAGGCTGGTACTCATGGGTACTCAGCATGCTCTATGGCTTCTTGTTAACCTTTGGTAAGTTGATCTGAAGCAGTTTTATACTCTGAGGTCTTAAAACTTAATCCACAGGCTGAAGGAACGTAAACTGTGCTGGATTTACTAACTATGAAATAAATGAAGAATACTGAAGTGTTCCTTAAAAGTTTGGTTTTTAGATATAATATTTTAAAGGTTATCTTAAAAGGATGATATGAATAGAAATGCAGAGCTACAGAGACAACGTTCTGAGATAAAGTTCATAAAAACCAAAACCGTTTCCTGAGTTTTTAGCATAAACATTTTAGAGATCCCTGGCATTAAAGTATTAGATGAATTGTGTGCTCTTCCTGGAACTGTTTATGTTTCCTCTTTTCTTTCTTTGGGGTTGATTTTTACTCTGTCATCCAGCAGGTTTTTTCAGTTTTTTATGTTAATCTATTTTAAAGCCCAGAGAGGAGGCTGATTTATTTTGGTCTCTCTCGATTGCCTCGCCTCTGAGCTGCCGGACTCGCAGCTAATATTTTCATGCTTGCATCATGGTTACGCATTCAATTCCCAGTAGCCTTAGCTAATGTGCTGTGTATTAATAAACTTCACCTGGTACACTCACTCGCGATTGTTCCTGCTGGTTAAATTACTGCCTGTGATATAGGAATTCTTAGTGTAATCTAATCTCCTTTTTCTGTCTTTTTTTTTTAAAGGTTTTATTACAATGACGCCACAGCTTTTCATCAACTATAAAATGAAGTCTGTAGCTCACCTCCCATGGAGGATGCTCACCTACAAGGCTCTCAATACCTTTATTGATGACCTTTTTGCCTTCGTAATCAAGATGCCAATGATGTACAGGATAGGATGCCTCAGAGATGGTGAGTTTTCTTTCAGATATTCATTAATGGTTTTTTTTTTTTTTTTTAAGAACTATACCAGGATCAAAGAAAGCTAATCGCCTAAAACATCATTTTGCTTCCTCAGCCAGTGCAGCTTTGACTTTGTAGCATTAAGATGAGTGTTTTGTTGGAGGTGGTTTAAGATTTGCCTCATTCTCTAGAACGGTTTCCAGTTGACGTGGGTGGTTTTGTGCTTAAACAAAACCACGATCGTGGCTCAAGAGTTGGGAGTTCGCCTTGTAATCGGAAGGTTGCCGGTTCGAGCCCCGGCTTGGACAGTCTCGGTCGTTGTGTCCTTGGGCAAGACACTTCACCCGTTGCCTACTGGTGGTGGTCAGAGGGCCCGGTGGCGCCAGTGTCCGGCAGCCTCGCCTCTGTCAGTACGCCCCACGGCGGCTGTGGCTACAATGTAGCTTGCCATCACCAGTGTGTGAATGTGTGTGTGAATGGATATGTAAAGCGCTTTGGGGTCCTTAGGGACTAGTAAAGCACTATATAAATACAGGCCATTTACCATTTAAACAAAATGCCGTCCTGATTTCTTTTATCGTGAGTGTATTGATCAAAAAGAAAATGTAGAATCACTGTCTCATACTGGAGGATTGTTTCTTTTCTTTTTTTAAATGTTTTTTTAACTGTCATTCTTGGATCTTTGACAGCTGTTGGTTTTCATAATCCTCTAACTCCACCTAGTGTTAACTCACCAGATCTCAGTTTTGAACTTGGTGTGATCATTAATCATCATCCACAAAGGTCACCGTGCCGCCTCTCATGAAATATTTCTTTGACACAAGAAAAGCCTAAATTGTAGTTCTTCTCCTGCTGTACAGTTCATGTTAGTTCATACAGTTTGGTAATGAAGCACTGAGCCCTGCTGTGCAAACTGAAACCTACACACTTTGCAGTTAGGAAGCCTTTAAATAAAATCCCCTGCTTCACAAATTAAACAGCTACCACCTACAGTGTGTGGCCAGCCAGTCAATTAGATGTTAGGTGGGCGACACTAATGTGAATTTTCGTTTGCTGTCTGTGCTAACTCGCTAAGTTGGACACGAAAAAGTGGTTTAGAGCAGCGCTCACATCAGCAAGAAGTCAAGTCAGTAACAACCAAACTGGGAGTAATGATTTGGTTGATATTCGCTTCACTGAGGACACTGATGTTGCTGCTAAGCAGATGATGGAGACCTGTCACATCTCTTTGAAACAACAAAGATGTCAATCATCAGCTCATGCAGCCAGCTCTTAAACATTTTGTCATTTGATTTGTGAAATAATTGGAAAGTGAAAATTAGTGGGGTTAATTTGTGATTCTAAATGTCCCTGGGTGTGTATGTGAGTGTGAATGGTTGTCTGTTTAAGTGTGTTAGCCCTGTGACAGACCGGACATCTGTCCAGGGTGTACCCTGCCTCTGGGAGAGGCTCCAGCTCCCACACAACCCTGATAAGGATAAGAGGAAGAAAACGGATGGAGTGGAAAGATGTATCAAGTATATTCTACACTGAGTGTTGGTGAATTCATATATTCACTTAAACTAGGAGGACAGGTGTGGTTTATACTAAGCCCACTGTGTAACTTTGCTATATACTGGATGTACCTATTGAACGTTGCATTTGGACTTTCCAACAAGGGGAATTCTGTATGCAAGAAGGCTTAGTTATCTCTATATCATCCATCCATCCATCCATTCGCTTCCGCTTATCCTTTTTCAGGGTCGCGGGGGCGCTGGAGCCTATCCCAGCTGTCATAGGGCGAGAGGCGGGGTACACCCTGGACAGGTCGCCAGTCTGTCGCAGGGCCAACACACAGGGACAGACAACCATTCACACTCACATTCATACCTAGTGACAATTTGGATTATCCAATCAACCTATCCCCACAAGATCTCTATATCAATTACAACAAAATGAAACTAAACGTTCTCGCTTGTGAGAAGAATAGAAAACTAAGCAGTAATCGGCCACAAGGGACGCTTGTACTTAAGATTTCTCACTTTAAAATAACAGGCTGTGGTAATACTGGTCTGTATACATGGGCAGGATGTTGTGCAACTGTTGCTTTAAAAGCATGTAGTAACCAAATCAGGTGACAAGCAAATCTTGTATTTAAAACAAAGACAGATGAGTTTGCACTGCATTGTGAGCATATTTGTTTCTGACTGGACCTCTACTGTACGTGAATACGTTCTCATCTCTCTGCTTGCAGTGCAGTTTTTGCCATCATAGCGTGTTCAGCTTTGATGGGAGATGATGTCAGTGCTTCACTTGTTTTTGATGCTTCTTAAGTAACATATTGGTCTCAATTCAGTTTTATTTATTTAGCTCTTTAAAAAAGTCTGGGGCTGGTTTCTCACTGGACCAAACTGTGTCCTCTCCTGCAGATGTGGTGTTCTTCATCTACCTTTACCAGCGCTGGATCTATCGAGTCGATCCCAACAGGGTCAACGAGTTCGGTACCAGCGGAGTAGACCACGCCCAGAACAACACAGCAGCCCCTGCCCCAGATGCCGCCTCCGCTGCAATCACAGACAAACCAGAAGGGGAGAAGAAGAATGATTAAGCGAGATCCCACCCTCATCTTCCTCCCTGGCTCTCACTGCTGGAGTGAAGAGGACTTGTGGAAAGTGGGGCATGGAGTGGAGTTGTTGTTTAGCTATCATGGATGCCGCTACCAAAACAGAAAAAAGAAAAAAAAAATGCAGTTCAGCTGTTCCTTCTGGTTTCTTTGTGGATGCACAGAGAGTCATATTCAGTGTAGACTTGGTAAATTATTTCTGCTCCCCACCCACCCCTGCCCTCCGTTTTGCAGTTCAAGTGAAGTAAAACAAAACGTGATGTACTGTATTCTGTATGATTTTTTTTTTTTTTTTCACTTCAGAGGGTAACAGTGTCTGGAAGTAGATGTTGGGAGGGGAACAGGTCGCAGTTGTGCTACTTTTTATTATTTTTATACAGAGGAAAAAGAGGCCAGGTGCAGCTTTTGTTCTTTGTGTAGATTCCTTTTCATTCCATGTGAGCACTCTGTTTCGGCTTGGTCGGAAACGGGTGAGTAGTGCTGGAAACTGGAAAGATCCTGAGCCGCAATGGAGGTTGGTGAAGAAGCGAGGTGGCGACTGGATGACCGTGCAGGACGTTACCCACGAGATAATGACTACTACCCTGAATTTTAAACAAATGGTTAATGTTCTAAACTTGAACATATAAAAAATAACAGCCTTGTTGGTATTAATATAAATATATTAATATTGTCAATGACTTAATTTTTGTTTTTCAGTCACTGATGCATTCTTTTGTATTTTCCTCAAACTGTACAGCCTCATGTTAATATTACCAATGTCAAACTGTTTAGCAATAGGTAATTTGCAAGTCTCATTTTTATTACCCCTCCCCTTCCCCTTCCTCAGCTGGTCATCTGACTTTTTGGATGGTTTCATCTTCACGCTCCAAAATCACGTTTGACGGACACAGCAGAGTCGAGCAGAGTCAGGCTTGTGCTGGAAGAGTTACAGTGTCTCTTTTTTTCTTTTTGAGTGCTGTAAATCCTGAAAGGATGAGGGGTTCCATGTTGGTACATATATTTTCAAGGATTCATGTTTATAGTAAAACTAAGTGTGATTTAAAATGTCTATGCAAAGTTGTTTTTGTTTTTGACACCTTTTTAAAATATTTGTTTTAGGTTTTAGGACAACATTTTTGCATGACACTTCATTTTGCACATTAATTTCTATTGATGTTACAGAAAATACAAATTGTGCTAACACGGCATCTACACTACTGAACTCTTTCATCTTTGTGTTATGAGTTGAGGTCCAATATTCAGCCAGTAACAGCCATCATAACATCCAGAACTCAAGGTCGTAGATTGGAGTTGAGCACAAACAAGCCAACAAAATACAGCGGCTTGCAAAAGTATTCGGGCCCCTTGAACTTTCCCACATTTTGTCACATTACAGCCACAAACATGAATCAATTTTATTGGAATTCCATGTGAAAGACCAATACAAAGTGGTGTACATGTGAGAAGTGGAATGAAAATCATACATGATACCAAACATTTTTTACAAATACATAACTGCAAAGTGGGGTGTGCGTAATTATTCAGCCCCCTTTGGTCTGAGTGCAGTCAGTTGCCCATAGACATTGCCTGATGAGTGCTAATGACTAGATAGAGTGCACCTGTGTGTAATCTAATGTCAGTACAAATACAGCTGCTCTGTGACGGCCTCAGAGGTTGTCTAAGAGAATATTGGGAGCAACAACACCATGAAGTCCAAAGAACACACCAGACAGGTCAGGGATAAAGTTATTGAGAAATTTAAAGCAGGCTTAGGCTACAAAAAGATTTCCCAAGTCTTGAACATCCCATGGAGCACTGATCAAGCAATCGTTCAGAAATGGAATATGGCACAACTGTAAACCTACCAAGACAAGGCCGTCCACCTAAACTCACAGGCCGAACAAGGAGAGCGCTGATCAGTAATGCAGCCAAGAGGCCCATGGTGACTCTGGACGAGCTGCAGAGATCTACAGCTCAGGTGGGGGAATCTGTCCACAGGACAGCTATTAGTCGTGCACTGCACAAAGTTGGCCTTTATGGAAGAGTGGCAAGAAGAAAGCCATTGTTAACAGAAAACCATAAGAAGTCCCGTTTGCAGTTTGCCACAAGCCATGTGGGGGACACAGCAAACACGTGGAAGAAGGTGCTCTGGTCAGATGAGACCAAAATGCAAAACGCTATGTGTGGCAGAAAACTAACACTGCACATCTCTCTGAACACACCATCCCCAGTGTCAAATATGATGGTGGCAGCATCATGCTCTGGGGGTGCTTCTCTTCAGCAGGGACAGGGAAGCTGGTCAGAGTTGATGGGAAGATGGATGGAGCCAAGTACAGGGCAATCTTGGAAGAAACCTCTTGGAGTCTGCAAAAGACTTGAGACTGGGGCGGAGGTTCACCTTCCAGCAGGACAACGACCCTAAACATAAAGCCAGGGCAACAATGGAATGGTTTAAAACAAAACATATCCATGTGTTAGTACGGCCCAGTCAAAGTCCAGATCTAAATCCAATCGAGAATCTGTGGCAAGATCTGAAAACTGCTGTTCACAAACGCTGTCCATCTAATCTGACTGAGCTGGAGCTGTTTTGCAAAGAATGGGAAAAGATTTCAGTCTTTAGACGTGCAAAGCTGGTAGAGACAGACCCTAAAAGACTGGCAGCTGTAATTGCAGCAAAAGGTGGTTCTACAAAGTATTGACTCAGGGGGCTGAATAATTACACACACCCCACTTTTCAGTTATTTATTTGTAAGAAATGTTTGGAATCATGTATGATTTTCGTTCCACTTCTCACATGTACACCACTTTGTGTTGGTCTTTCACGTGGAATTCCAATAAAATTGATTCATGTTTGTGGCTGTAATGTGACAAAATGTGGAAAAGTTCAAGGGGGCCGAATACTTTTGCAAGCCGCTGTATGTGGAGTACTGTGCAAAGTCTTTAGCTGCCCTTCATTTCTTCACACATTTTTGTTTTCTCCTCAACTTCTCCAGTTTCCTCAGATTTTGAAGGACTCTCCACACCATGTTGAGATATACCATGTTTTCAGTTGATAGCGCCGAGTCTCATTTTCTATGTGCAAAAAAACTGTTTACTGTTTCTACTGTTATCTTTAGCATTTTTATTTTGTAGATTTGGCTAAAGAAAGGAAACTAATTGTGTTTTTGTGACATGCTGCTAGTAACAACGTGCACAAAGACACAATTTGAAGCTGGTTCTCGCTAAGCTGTTATGTATAGACACAGCAGTGGTTCATCCTTGAGTTAGTTTATGTTTACTAGAGTTAGGTCAGTGGTCAGGTAAAGGTCAAAGACTGGGCTGGAAATGAATGAAAAAGCAGCCAATGTCAAAGAAAAACTTTGAAAGATGTTCAGAAAACCCAAAGGACTGTTGCTAAACACAAAAAGTGTAAGCTAGTCCGGCTTTTTGAAAGCAGAACATATAGAAATGAGATCTGGCTTAAGACTTTTGATTGGAAGTAGAAAATATGATTCAAGAGGAGGAAACTTTAAAATGTTAAACATAATTATAAATTAGGCCTAATTATAGAGTTTCTGATCTAAATTAAGGTTTGTAAGGACAAAGTGCCCTTTCTGACCTCACTGTTATGCATTATGCAAACAGATAAAGCGCCGGGGGTTTGATTTAAAAAAGCTCGGTTCGTGCTGTCCCAAGGCGGGTTCCCGTCTGTGAGGACCTTCCGCGCGGAGGGGGATTGCGACGCGTCCAGCAGCCAATCAGCGCGAAGCCTGTTGCAGAAACACAAAAGCGGAGCACACTTAGTTCCACACATGGCTTCGGGACGGTTTGACACTTCTCCCCGGGATCAGACAGACACTCTGAGCCGCTGTGCAGTCTAACTGGTGGTTTAAGGAGCTGTTTCAGATTTCAGGACGAAGGTCTGGACCGAGACAGGGGAAAAAATCCAGTCATCTGGTTTGGCGAGATCTCAAGGAAGAATTCAAGGACACGGCGGTGGAGTTTAACGTCCTTAAGGTGGTTTAAGACTCGACGCGAGCCATGATAGACATGGACATGGTCAACGGTACCCCTGGCGGGTGGTTGTCTTTTGTAAACCTGTTGAATCTTGTGCGTAAAAACGCTGACATCTTCCTGAGGCGACACGACAGACCGCAGCCACTGGTCCCCAAAGATAGGTATATTTACCTGCAGGTAACCACTGCTCTAGATTGACTGTCACTGGTTAAACTAAGGGCTGACTACAGGGCAGGGGGCTTGGGGGGTTTTGGTGCAGTGCTCAAACAACGTACCACAGATTCATCCACCAGTGACAAAAACAAAACAGAGGAAACTGTTCATGTGAGGTGGTAACCGCTCAGATTCTGACACATTGTGTCTTGTGACCCGTGGTCACAAAACGCAAATAAAAAAAGAGATGAGTGATTTTTAAATTTACTTTGACTTGTATTTCATTGCAAACAATATGAACACAAAATATTTCATGTTTTGTCTGGTCAACTGCATTTCATTTGTGAATATACATCCTTTCCTGTCATTCAGACCTGCAACATACTCCAAAAAAGGTTGGGAAAGTATCAATTTAGAGCTAGTAATCGGGTAAATTTGTTAAATAATGATATGATTTGAAACAGGTGATGTTAACAGGTGATTGTAATTATGATTTGGTACAAAAGCAGCATCCAAAAAATGTCAAGTACTTTAAGAGCAAAGATTGGCTGAGGATCGCCAGTTTGCCAACAAATACGTTAGAAAATTATTGAAATGTGTAAAAACAATATTCCTCAAAGAAAGATAGGAAGAGGTTTGAATATTTCACCTTCAACAGTGCATAACATAATTATAATATTCAAGGAACCAGGAGGAATTTCAGTGCGTAAAGGAAAAGGGTGCAAGCCTAAGCTGAACAACCGTGATCTCCGATCCCTCAGGCGGCACTGCATCAAAAATCGTCATTCATCTGTAAGTGATATTACCACATGAGCTCAGGACTACCTTGGCAAACCTTTGTCAAGCACCACAATACGTAGTTACATCCACAAATTCAGTTAAAACTGTACTGTGCCAAAAGGAAGCCCTATGTTAACAGTGTCCAGAAGCGCTGTCAACTTGTCTAGGTTCTGGAAGGCATCTGGGACGGACCATCGCACAGTGGAAACGTACTGTGGTCAGATGAATAAGTATTCTTGGGGAGAAATGTCTGCTTTGTGACTTCAGTCCCTAAACATCTTTTAACTCTCTGGGTTTGTTCAAAATCACTACCCTTTCAGCTTATTCGTGGCCAAAAATGCCAAAATGTCTGTAATTTTTTAATAATTTTTATGTTTTTTGCCATTTTCTCTGCATAAAGCCTTTAACTAACTTCAGTTCTTTTCATAAATATAAAATAGTTATTACTTTTTACATTTTAACCCTTTAAACACCAGTTTATTTGTCCACTGCATCAGTTGGAAGACAACCTCAAATCTCACAATTTTATATATTTGCATTGCTACTGGAATTTCTTGTATTATTAATAGTAGAGTCTGGGACATGTAATTGATTCACATCAACATTGATTATAATGCATTGTTATTTTTGTGCAGGGAGAGCAAAAACATAAAAACTCCCTCTCAGCTTGTTCGTGCCAAAAATTTACAAAATGCTATAAAATGAATATATATAATATATATGCTATTCACCTCAGGACCAAACTGGATTTAGAGTTTGGTCCTGAGGTGATGCTATAAAATTAATATATATTAAAGCATTTTTCTACTTTCATTGACTTGATTTTTTTGTTCCAATCCTGGAGGTGTACCTTCTTCTCATTTTGTTGGTGGGGTGTGGGTCACACTCTGGTTCAGACTACTGTATCCTGAGATCAATGGCAGAAGTGGCTGAGAATCGGAGACAAGGGTGTCTTGCAGTTGTTGAGGTCACCGGCATGTGCCCCAGCTCTTCCAGAATCACTCTTCATTTCTAGGTTGTAAACTCATTCTAAACTCCTGTGTTGAGTTTAGAATAAAAGCAATCTTACCTAAATTGCATGATTTAGGGCTGTCAAAAACAAGTAATCAAAAAAGGTGGTTATAATGGGTTTCAGTCGGCCAAAAATGGCCACAATAGAGCCAAGAGGAACAATTTGATGTGTAATGTATATCAGTGGTCCCCAACCTTTTTTGCGCCATGGACCGGGTTTAATGTCAGACAATATTTTCAATATTTAAGGTGTCGCATGTGAATACAA